GACAGAATATCTGAGTGAATGCTTCTCTGCACAAGGACATCCAACAGGACACGCTGAAAAAAGCGTCCTCAAGAGTCATGGTCATGTAATTAACAGACAGACATTTGAGACATTTCAGTGAGCAATGAAGCCTCCTACAGGGTGCGTTCAGTGGCACAAGAGGAGCCCAGCCCTTGAACAACAAAGCACCTGACAAACACAGAGAAGGATGTCCTGACTGGCTGCCAAACACACCTGGTAAAGCTGCCAGGCTTTCAGGAGAGTCTACATTCCTCCGGGCATCCCTGCACCTTACAGGACAACAACCTCTGATTTGAGGAAAAGGCAGCACCAACCCAAAGTATCTTTAATAAAAGCGGGCAAACACATGGAATATGAGCTATAAAAATGTGTAGAATAATTGAAAAAGTTGCAGCACATCAACAGCGAGTTGCACAGAGAAATGTGAAGAGGAAAGACAAATTGGTTTGTTAGTGTATTTCTAAACATACCTGTGTCATTATTAAGGAATGAGAATTAGCATTCAGACTTTGTTAGTTAGGTTACATGCTCCTAAGGGGGAGTAGTGTTCCTGGACGCTTCACAACAAAGCCTAAAAGACAGATCAAGTCTGCCCCCTGCTGTACACAAACTGACATTGACTATGATTTTATTTTGAACAGCCTAGTATGCATGTAATGAAAGTTATGTTTCCTGTATAAAACTGCATATTATATGCATGCAAAGGGTGAAGACATTATGTAATGATGTGATACCATGACTCTACACTTTAACTGTATGCAATAAACAAAGTGAGTTGCCTGTACGTGTGCAGGGAGTGCAGTACTTACGATTCTTGCACACAGAACGACACCATGGCTTCAAAGTCTGTAATGGCTGTTTTATCCGTCTCCTTTGCAGAGCCGCGTTTTTCCTGTAGACAAAGTTCACAAAAGGGTCACAAACCTCGGAAAAAATGCCGGGTTGTACTTATTTATAGGAGTTCCTCACATTATTGTGCTGACCTGTTTGCGGCCAACCTCCTGGCGGATGAGAAAGTTCATTTGCTCCTTATCTCTCGGGGAGTAGTATGTGCGACAGGATGAGGGCAGTCCGTCTCTCCCAGCTCGCCCAGACTCTTGGTAATAACTGGCCAGGGACTTTGCCAGGTTCCAATGAGCTACAAATCTGCGGGGTTAACGAAAACATTAGCACAAGCAAACTTTACTGTAGCTAATACAAAAGTATATAGCAAAACCTCACCTGACATTGGCCTTGTCTACTCCCATACCAAAGCTGATGGTGGCTACAATGACCAGAACCTTCCCCTGCATCCACTCATTCTGGACCTCTGTGCGATCTCCTCCCTTAAGACCTACAGTATAAAAGCAGAATTCAGAAGTATTTGAGTCAAAGTATTTTTTGGTTTTCCAGTCCTACACCTACATGGAGGAAAAACGTCTAACCTGCATGATAAGCCTTGGCCAAGACTCCAAGCTTGGTCAGCTGGTAAGCCACAGTTTCACAGCCTTCCCTGGTCCGACAGTACACAATCCCACAACCCTGTTCACAAATATTACATACAGTAGGTTAAAGAAACCAGCGCTCTTATGCTCGTATTCAAGGGAGGATATATCTGCTAATATGGCCTAATCACAGGTTGGTATCAGCTTACATGCTGATACACTGCACTTTATGAAACATTCAATGTAAATTCAATTATTATAAACTTAAACTGAGAAAACAACCCACACATAACGTACATGCCCAAGACTACCCACCAGGACTATCTGTTATTCTGTTATATCTGTTTTTTGGTTTTGTTTTGTCCTCTTTGTCTTCCTGCTTTCTTTTTTTTTTTTTAAGTTTCTACAGTTTTTATCCATGTCCTCATGTCCCTGTATTTCTGTTGTCGTTTTGTGAATTCTTTGGTTTTGTAAATACTGTTATCCACTAATGATGTATTTAAAAAAATAGGCTGATACTAATATTGATAATTGAAAGTTTAGTAAATGTTTCTTAATGATCTTAAACATCCGGCATTATACCCAATCAACCTTCATAAACACACCAGTATTGATATATATCAACAATAAGCTCATACTGGTCGATATATTTGCTCAGCCAATTTATCCGTCAGGCTCCACTCTGGACACTATTAGAGAAGAAGAACACAAACTGGCAGATGTTGGTGTAAACTGTGAACTATTTCATTGTTCTACTGTAAAATGTCCGGCCTCCAGCATGTATATCTTTGTCACAACTTTTTGAGTTGAATTTGAATTTTGATTGGATTTCAAAGTCATATTAAATCTACTCCTATCCTTTATCGTAGGCTGTAGCACAGAAATAAAAACAGCATACATATTTTGTACATAAACGAGAGCCCTGAAAAGTTCACTTTTGAACTGTAAAAGGTACATTACAGTACATGCTGTATCATAAAGGCTGAGAGGATTTAAACTCAAACATAAATATTGTACTGTCCTCAAAAATGCATCAGTCTGGCTCCAGTAAATATCTATTTTTTAAGATGTTTGTTGTTTATTTTGCTCAAACCTGCAAACTTTAAAGGGTTTTTTCTTGCATAAGGGAACACTGAGAATAGTGTAACAAGTGTTTTTGTTTCTATCCTTTCAAACGAGCTGTTCTTTGCCAACCGCTCCAACATGATTTTGATAGAAGTTTTTTAAAAACAAAATCATAGACGAATGAGGACGAGCTGCTGGTGATCTGTTATTCAGAGAAAATGAGCAGTTCCACATAAAAAATCCAATCTCTTCACAGAGTCAAGTCTACCAACCTGTCCACTAGACCCGCTGTCCAGTCCCAGCGCCTTCTTAACGAAGGCATGGAGGTGGACGTAGGGGTTTGGCAGCAGCTCCCTGAAGATCACATCATAGTGCAAGTTACTGCGGAAGACAGGTGAAACAAAAGACAGCGGCGAGCGCAGTCTCAGGGACTGAACAATGTCCTCTTGTACATTCTTGGGTGCTGTCGCTGTCAGGGCCAAACAGGGGACCCCGGGGATGCGAGCACGCAGCCCACCCAGTTTGAGGTAGTCTGGCCTAAAATCGTGTCCCCACTGGGACACGCAGTGAGCCTCGTCCACAGCCAGGTAGGACAGCAGGCCGCGGGAGCACAGGTCAGTCAGGCAGGGCTGGAACGAAGGCGAGGCCACCATCTCCGGAGTGATGTAGAGCATCTTCAGCTTGGGGCTGCCGCTCCCCAAGTCAGCCAGGATCAGACGGCGCTCGGCTGCTGGGAGTTTGGAGTTGATGGAGCAGGCAGGGATGTTCAGACTCTTCAGGCGGTCCACTTGGTCCTGCGGAGACACACAGTAAGGGATTCACTAACGTTAACAACTGAGACCGCACGCAAGATCTTAACGTGTGTTTGAATGGTGTGCACTGGAGCACACAATCAGAGACTGACCTGAATGAGAGCGATCAGCGGGGATATAACCAGAGTAATACCTTCAGCCATAAGTGCAGGGAGCTGGTAGCAGAGGGACTTTCCTGCTCCAGTGGGCATGCACACAAACACATCCCTGTCACCTGCAGGAGGACAACACCAGTCACCACAGAGCCAGACATTACTCTCTCTCTCTCTCTCTCTCTCTCTGACCACACTGGAGACATCTCTCAAACAGCCTCATATTTGAGCAGAAATATAAACAACAATATCATAACAAACAGAAATATAAACGTGTCTGTTGCTACGAAACGAGCGTTAGCCACCGTTAGCTGACACCGTTAGCACAGAGATAAACAGAGGCCGGCTCACCTCTGACGACCGCTCCGACAACATCCTCCTGTAGCTGAGACCTAAAGTTATCAAACCCAAAGTGGGTTTTTAAGGCTTGATTTAAAGTTGTTGTCATCGTTTGTGTGTCGGTGAAGAACTCATATGAACCTCTCCGGTGGTGTCGCACACCGATGACGTCATTGCCGTGGTGAAAATCTGAAAATAAAGTTTTTTTAAAAATCTGTGTGTTTTACTGACTCCCTGTGATTTATTAATGAATTATGTTTACTGTTTTATTTCTTTGTTATTATATTTCATTATATATCATTTTTATTTGTTATTTTTGTGTTTGTGTGTTGGAGCTCTCTGATTGGTTCGGCTGGTGCACAAATATGGCCAAAAGTATACGGACAGCCCTGTCAGATCCTCTACTTAACTAAAAGTAATAGTAAGAGAGGTGGAAGAAGTATTCAGAATTTTTACTTAAGTAAAACTACACAAATATAAGCATCAAACTTACCTACTTACTTAAATAAAAGTACTTATTAAGCAGAATATATATATATATTTTATGGTGGAATATAATTATTGATGCGTTACTGTGTTCATCACTTTAATGCTACATCTGGTGTGGCTCATTTGAATTACTTTATATATTGATGGGCAGCTTAATCTATGATCATTTATAACATATGTTATTAGTTTTAATCTTTTTACACACTTTCCCCGCAATTTCAGCTTGAAATATTTGCTATGTTTGGAATCTAAGAACTCTACTAGAATTGAAAATCAGGTTTTCTGTATTTGAAGGACCTTTGGTTGAGCCTCTGGTGGGTTCATAAGACTTTAAAATATCAATTACAAGGTCTACTTAGGCTCAGGTGCTGTTTCTGTCACATTCTGCTCTCCCACCTTGCTGCCATGCTCTGTGGGTTAGTGGTTTCTTTAAGTGTGCTCAAAATATTTCATAACCACAGCAGAGACAGGAGAGACATGAAAGGCTGAAGAGGAATGGAGAGGAGAGAGAAACAAGAGAAAAGATGGCTGACACCACAACCGTATCTACCTGAGATACTGTGACCGATCACGGGCTGGGTCTGATTACAAACCACACACTTCAACTCTCAGGTCAGATTACTCTTTCTGACTAAAGATTCATCTATTTTGTTCTGTGCATGCCACAGAATGATTCATGGTTTTGTGATATATATATATATATATATATATATCACCCATTATGTAATGTCTAGTGTAGAAATAAAGAGGCCAAAAAGTAAGACATGGATTTGGTTTATTTATTATTCACATGAACGCATTCTTACTGCAGGGTTAATATTGCACAGTACATTACATTAATACAATATGTTTCCTTTCAAATATATGAAAATACATCATGTATGTAAGCAAACAGCAGCACTATAGATATATAGTGAGGAAGTGGTTGCAACGATCACATTAAAGCAGCAGCAGCAGCAGCAGTATAGAGCGTGGTCACATAGTGGAGCTATTTAATAGCACAATGATGGTCTGTTATATCAGGATCTCGGATTCCTCCCAGTGATTATTATATAACCTGATTTGTTAGACTTTATTAGGATATCTGCTGGAATTTAAAGGAATATTTACCAGAAGGAGACTCAACCCCAGATGCAGGGTGAGGGGCACAGACATTGGGTTTTAGCTGCGGGAGACTTAATCACCAGATCCTTGATGATCTCCACTGTACCAAACAAGGGGAACAGCTTCTCAGTGAAGCTCTCGTTGTAGGTGTAAATGTGCAAGTGTTTGTCCACGTCATAGAAGGACAGCTGGCCGTGGTCGTAGTCAAGGTAGATGCCCACCTTGCGGGGGATGAGGCCCGGCGGCAGGGCGGTGAAGGGGACCGTCAGTGCCTTCAGCTCAGTGCCCCTCTCCAGCCTCAAGGTCAGGTAACCCGTATCCGTGTTCAGGGACTTGAAGCCTTTCCTCAGGGCCGCCTCCCTGGCCACGCCCAGCCGCCAGTCCCGTTCACCCACCTCCACCTCCCAGTAGTGGCGGCCAGACTCAAAGCCCTCCACCCCAACAGCGCACCACCAGCCATCAAAGCGTTGGTGGTAGTTGGGAACATCCTTTCTCTCAAAGCCACAGCGCATCTTCTTCTCGTCAGTGATGAGCAGATCAGGGTTGGCCGTGTCCTGATCCAGAGTCACCTCCACTAGAGGGAAGCGTTGAGAGGTTTAAAATCACCAGACAGGCTCAGTTAAGATTATACTGACTGATAACTTGATAAAGTGAATGCTGTACCTGCAGCATCTGAGATCCATTCCCACACTGCAAAAAAAAGGGAGGACTTTAGGAAATGTCTGTCTGATGTTACACAATCAGAGAGCTATGTTGTCAGTTTGGAGATACAGGCTGTATCATCAGTATTATAGATATTCTGATGATGAGAATGTTGAAGGAATGTTAGATTGAAAGCTCCCAAAACTTTAATTGATCTAATGTTTTGACCTACAAACAAAAGATGACAAACAAACACACATACTGTCTTAAAGAAAGCACTGTAGCACAAACAGTAGTCTATATGTGATACATAGGCATATACAGGACATGTATCATCTCTAAATTATTTGCATTTGGGGTTTTTTAACCTGTATGTTGCCAAAAAGACACTTTTAAAAAGAAAATATGTATCACATATGTTCTGAATAAACTACAGTCCTTCAATTAGGACATTACGGGATTTTTCTATGTAGAGTAAACATGTAGATATGGGTGTTATTTTGTATTAATTGCAGGTGGATTGTCATTCTATTTCATGCACAGCTGTAAATAAGTCAGTCTGCACTGTGTATAAGGAGTCCAACTGCTTCTATAATCCAGATTTGCTGCAGAGTATGAAACGCTGCATCAATTATAATTTTGGCAGATTGAAAACTTCAGCATCTTTCGTTTTCTTTGTGTGCTGCTGTCCTGCACCTGTACCCAACTGGACCCAGAATATAGTTAAATATATTTTTGCCAAAGGAATGATGGTCCCAAAAAGCAGCATGGAGTCGATAAGAATGGCAAGCAGTCAGAATTTAACCTGAAACCAGTGAAGCTGGTTGTATGTAATGATTTTAAATATCCTAACATACAGTTCAGCTCACCTGGTTGAGGAATGTAGGATATGGCACCTGAAAGGAGATAATAACAGACGCATAAAGAAATGAAAGTCTCCAGTTTTACAATGAAATTCAACTTGATTCATTACTGATTTACAAACCAATCTTCTGAGTCTTTTGCTTCCACATGAGCCACTGCTGGGGTATGGTGTCCTGCAAGGACACACCAAGCAGGTTTGGATTATGAACTGCACAATAAACTGATGATAACACACAAGGAGTTCTGTGAACTGTTACATGGACTTTTCCTCTACCTTATCTGGGCGCTGCACCATTAAAGTCCACATCACCAGCTCCATAGCAGTCACCAGATTGGGCGCGCGGCCCCAACGCCAGGCTGACTGCAGGTCATCCAGAACCTTTGCCACGGGTTCCCCAGGCCACACACTTTGCTGCAGGATGAATAAAATATGTCTATTGAGTATATTTTGTTTGAAGAAAGAGAGTAAGGTGAACAGGAAATGTTATTTGTACATTTCCCACCTCAGGCTGAGCTCTCAGGTCCTTGATCCAGTTGAGGATCACAGTTTTGGCCTCCATCAGGTCCTGCTCGTTAATCATATCAGGGTGTTTGACCTCATCCACCTCGGGCCAGCCATCCGTCTGCATGGGCCTCTTCTGCACACAGAAACACACAAACCTTTAGTGAATAAACCCTTCTGTCCCAATACTCTCTTCTGGAAATGTTCTAAGGTATGCACCTTGCTCTCTAACATGGAGGCCCATTGTAGGATAAAGGCCTTGCAGAGGGAGGTAGGCCAGGTATCATCCAGGTTCCAGATGTGCTCCAGGACTGCTGACCTCTGCAGTGGCAAACAGAGAGTGAAATATGGGGTTGGTGATATAAGACAAACCCTCAGGGTCTACTGGTCCCTCATTTATGAGGACATAGGAAAAAGGTGGTTTGTAACTAGTAATGATTGTCTATGGCCGAGATAATTTCTGGTTTTATGAGTTAATTCTTACCTGGCACACTCGGCTGAGATCCCTAGCCATGTCCACAACAAACAGCTGATCTTCATCCAGAGGCTCCCTCTTCTCCTTCTTTGCTCTCTTGTGTGATTCCTGCAAGAAAATGTAAGATTAAAGCATTTTCTGTGGGGAAACTGTTTGGAAATTGAAAAGCTCTCAGCAAGAAAAAAGACATTTGGACGGCATTAGCGCTGCTTTACAACTGCCTCTGTGAGTAATAAGGTCAGACTGAAAAGGAGGTGGTCACTCAGCCTGATCAAAATGCACATCGTGGCTCTGTTCCTGTCAGCAGAAAAGAAAGACACCCCTCCCTTCCAGACTCCCTGCCTCGAGTAATCTCCCAAAAAACTCCATGCATACAGTAGCTCTCGCTTGTTAAATTCTAACCAGGAAAGCAGAAATGCGTGGAGTCACATGCTGCTAAAAAAACGTTGTCATGTCAACTGTCTACTTAAGTATGAAGGTGACCCAAAAAAACAAAAGGTTTGCACATTCAACACACAGAACTTAATACCTTTATCTTGGCCGTTAAGGTTTTGGCCGGCTCCACCATGAAGTGAAAACACTGCATCATCTTGGCAGGTGTGTAATAGAGTCCTGCAGTAAATAATACAAAAACATGTTAGTTTAGAGAATTGCATGTTGATTTATTTCTTAATTTATGAGCCAAAACTCAAACACTGTTTGTTCTTGTTAGCAGCGTTGACAGCTCGACACAGGATGCTACAAGTTACACGGTTTTATCTAAGATTAGTCCGATAAGACATCACAACCTGTACTGTTAAATCAAAGGACACATCTTTGCAAACTCGAACACTGCTGATGTTTACTTCCTAAACACCGGTAAGTCATGCAAATCATTCTACGTGTGATGGAAATTTCACATCTGCATTTAGAAAACACAACACCTTAGTGTGAGCACAACAGCTTATTAAAAGCGAGGGATGCCGTGTCCTCTGCTTTGGCACGAATGACTAAACATATAAAGTTGATCAGGTTAAATGATCTCTGGTCAGACGTGACGGTCCAACGAGAAGTTTGGCAAGAGGTCATATCAGAGTGATGATTAACTGGAGCAGAATTGAGCACTGAAAGCAGGCGGCCTGAAACGTGACTGGCCCTGCACACTTCCAGAGCCACAGCAATGCCTCAGCTGCTGTCTGTCTGTCTATGTCCTTGGTTAGTCTTTCTCTCGTTCTCTTTCTGTCTGTCTGCCTTCCTGGTTTACTCTCTATGCACCTCTCACTTCCTCTCCATCGTCATCTGCAGCAGTATGTGTGAGCTCGGTGTCTTTTTGGCACTGAAGCAGTCAGGACAACCAGTCTGAACAGGTTTTCATGCTGACCCAGACCGAGGATGATGCGGGTGAATTACCTTGCATTAGTACAATGTATGCAGTAATGCTGATTCATATTAAGCTGAAGGCAATAAATGAAATCAAATGTTTGCATATGTAAGTGGACAGATATTGGAGGAGCAGAGACTGAACAACAAGATAAAGGTCATTTGAAAAAGAAATGCTCCAATAGACAGGCTTATTAATGTCGTGGGAAAACATGACCAAGCAGTTTTTGCGACCCAGTTAGAGGCCAGCTGATGACTGCGCAGGAGGTAAACACAGACCTGCGGTGTGACTTTGCGGCAAATCTGGACGATAGAAGCAGTTAGACTCTCTATACACGGTGCAAACGGATTTATCTACAGCTGTGCGTCTAACAGAATCACATATCTTATACATTTGTGCTGGTTATATCATGTAACTCATCCCTGCAGTGCGTCCTGCACAGCAACGCAAATAACATACGGTTGATCATCAGCCTACCTTTGTCCTCACAGGTTGGGTTAAACAAGTTGTCTTCTTCTTCTTCTTCTTCTCTTGCGTTAAAAGCGAGCAGCCGCCCGGTGAGGAAAGTGTTTGGTCTGCGTGCTGCAGTGTCTGACCTTGTTTACACACCAGACCTGTCGGCTGGTTCGGGCAGCTTCGGTTTTTTCCGCCAGTGACGAACGAGATTCTGCGGTGGACAAAGCGCGCGGCCATGTTGGTAAGGTCGTTATGATGCTGTCGGTGACACAGATTTAAAGGGGAAATCTCACCCACAGTAGATGTTTTATATAACAGTGATTTCTGTCTAAACATAGATTCTTAACAGTGGGTGAAAGTAACTAAGTACATTTACTGAGGTACTTGAGTGTTTCCATTTTCTTACTTACACTTATTATTATTTACTTTTGGTCTTCCCATGGCCTTCAGACTCAAAAAAAACCTGGGGATATGAGTAAAATGTGTATTTTAACTAACACGTTATGAATTTCCAATGAAAATTTTTATTTTCTGTCTAAACTGGAAATCACACAATAACACAAAGAAATAGATTTGTGAAGGAGTCTAATCATTATATTTAATGATGAAGTGTAGGGTTAAAGAGTGGGGACGGGCTAAAATCATATTTTTTAGGTGTTCTAGGTAGTTTTCATTCAAGTTTTACATGATGTGTCTTCAAATTGCAATTAGAGCAACGTGAAGGACATTTTGCTTGATAATATGATGCATTATAAAGAGATCTGAACTTCTTCTGTGTGTGCTCTTTAACTTCAGTCTGATGATGGTATTTTAATTCCAAGCCTGATATAAATACAGTGATAGTGACTTAGATTGCTGCCTTCCTGCTTAATGACCATGGACTTGATATGTGGAATATTAACAACACAGGGAATTGTATACTTCTGCTGCTCATTTCTATTCACTGAAGTCCTGAAAAAAAAACAACTGAAAAGTATTTCAGCATGAATGAAAAACTTTTGACCTCTTCCGATATGTAATAAGATAATGAAGACAGATATAAAAACAACACAGTTTGTGGGCTAATATGCAACTCAATTCTTTTTTTTTTTTTTTTTTTTTTTTTTTTTTTTTATTTTTTTTATTTTATTTTTTTTTTTTAAAATTTTTTTAAAAAAATTTTTTTTATAAATTATTTAAAAATAATTATATAAAAAAAAAAAAGAAAAAATGGGGAAAAAGGGGAAGAAAAGGGGAAGAAAAAAAGGGGTAAAAAGGGGGGGAGTTCTGGAGGGGGGTGGTGGGGGGGGGGGGGGGGGGGGGGGGGGGGGGGGGGGGGGGGGGGGGGGGGGGGGGGGGGGGGGGGGGGGGGGGAAAAAAAAAGAGGGAAAAGAAAAAGGGAGAGAAGGAGGGGTATTGGGGGGGGAAGTGGGGGGGAGGGGAAAAGGGGGGAAGAAGGAGGGGAAAGGAGAAGGGGAAGGAGGAGGGGGGGGGAAGGGGGGGGGGGTAGTGGGTTTAATGAGGGGGATTGAGGGGGGGGAGGAGGGGGGGAAGAGGGGGGGAGGGTAGGGGTGGTATAGGACATTTTAAGTTTTTTTAGGATTTATTATGTAATATTAATTTTTGATTTTAAAAATTTTTTTTTTAATATAAATTTTATTTTTTTTTTTTTTTTTTTTTTTTTTTGGTTTTTGTTTTTGGGGGTTTCGGGGTGGAGGGTTTGAAATTGGTGGTGAATTATAAGGGGGGGTTTTTTTGGGTTTGTTTTTTTTTTTTTTTTTTTTTTTTAATTATATTAAAATTAAATAGCATATAATTAAGGTTTTGTTTGTTTTTTGGGGGTGTTTTTTTTTTTTTTTTTTTTTTGGGTTTTAGGGGTTTTGGGGTTTTTGGGTTGGGGGGGGGTTTTTTTTTTTTTTTTTTTTTTTTTTTTTTTTTTTTTTTTTTTTTGGTTTTTTTGGGGGGGTTTTGTTTTTTTTTTTTTTTTTTTTTTTTTTTTTTTTTTTTTTTTTTTTTTTTTTTTTTTTTTTTTTTTTTTTTTTTTTTTTTGTTTTTGGGTTTTTTTTTGGTTTATTTTTTTTAATTTTTTTTTTTTAATTTTTTTTTTTTTTTTTTTTTTTTTTTTTTTTTTTTTTTTTTTTTTTTTTTTTTTTTTTTTTTTTTTTTAATTAAGGGTTGTTTTTTTTTTTGTGGGGTTTTTTTATTTTTTTTTTTTATTTTTAATAAATATTTTTTTTTTTTTTTTTTTTGGGGGGTAAATTTTTTTTTTTTTTTTTTTTTTTTTTTTTTTTTTTATTTTTTTTTTTTTTTTTTTTGGGGAAAAAAAAAATTTTTTTTTTTTTTTTTTTTTAAAAATAAAAAATTTTGGGTTTTTAGGTTTTTTTTTTCTTTAAAAATTTTTTTTATTTTGATTATTTTTTTTTTTTATTGGGTTTGATTGATAGATATAATGCTAACTGCTAATAGCAACTTGTGTTTTGTTAGGGCAACTGTAGAGGTTCACAAACAGTCATATCTTTGTCTCTTTCAATCTAAGGGACGGCTCAGACACTAGACACTATTCTGCCAGCAGGCTCCACAGTCTGTGGACCTCAACTGGGCTCTCCAGGGAAATTACTCCTTTTTACATTACACATGGTCATATGATCACAAAAGGCTTTTCTTTATCTGCTGAGGACTAAATAAACATTCTTGATTATTCTTTTAGGCATTACGGTGAAATGAGGAGCAAACTACTGTATGTTTCTGTCAAGTCTCTTTTGCAGTTTTTCATCCATTTAACTAGGATATTTTCAGTTTCTTAGTGTTAATGCCATCAATGTATTTACACAGAGATTCAGTAACTCACCAGTCCGGTCCAAAAACAGAACTTTCTACGGGGGTTTTGGGGTACCAAAGCATCACAGCAAGGTTATTTTGAGACAGTTATTTCACGACTTTAACTGTATCAGAAAAAATACCTTGTGACCTAGGTGGCGGTACTCTATTAAAAGTAAGGGTACTCAAGTGGACAAAAATCAGAACTGCCAGTACTCGCTATCGCTGAGGCCTATTTCAGGCACTGCTTTTATTAAAGCTAGGGTAGGTAATGTATTCTAAAATTGTTGTATTTGTTGAAATTCTCTTTACATCCTGAAAGAAATCAATAAATCAAATGCACTGGAAAAACAAGAGTAAAAAAACCTGGTAACTGTAGAAGTAGACCTGCCTGTCTATCTCTGCACACTCTGCCCCTGCACTCCCATGACCAGAGTCTGCCACAAGCTGGCCAGGCAGATATTGCTAAAGTCACAGAGCTAGTTGCACAAGAATGGCAGAGAAAGAGCAGCCAAAATATATAGTTATATATATATATATAGCAGTGTACTAGGTTATTTTGGTTTTATACTTCCAAAATCTAGCCGTCTCTGTTTATCCCATATAACCTAAATAAAGCAAAGTGTTCACTGGTTATTGAACTTTCAGTTCTGTAGTAGTAAGTAGATACTCAAACATTGTCCTTTAACGGTGAAGAAACAGCTAAGTGAATGTGACTGAGGCTCATTAGATATTTGGAACATATCTGAGACAATATATGCCAATAGTCAATAAGAAGTTATGTGTTATGACAAACTTTTTCTGATCATTTTTATTACTGAGACAAATTTCTGATATTCAGTAGTCTCATTGGACTTTACTGCAGCTAGTTTTAAATCCAATCGATTCACCCTCCCTTTCTAAGCCCAAAGGAGAAACTTCGGTGGCTCTAAAAAAAAAAGTGAAATACAAGAACGCCACAATCTAGAGCCACTGTGTAGTGTATCCCTCCTGTAGAAACATGGTGGTTCAACATAGTGAACTCCATAGAAGGCTACCCACAGATTCTGTAGATATAAACGGCTCCTTCTAAGGTAACGAAAACCCAACAATTACTATATTCAGGTGATTAAAAACTACAGAAAACATAACTATGAATATTATATTCCATTTCTGCCAATAGATCCTCCTAAATGTTACACAGTGGACCTTTAAGAGTTGACAGAAAAAGACCACAAGAGCTGGAAAAAACATTCAAGTAGTTTCAATTAGGGTCAAGGAGCAGGTATTTCTCAGCAAATTAATAAGGAAAGTATGAGAGCAAAGAATAGAAGCCTTTGAGAAACTAGCTGGACAGAAGTCTCCTTCAGATTTTTCCTTTCTGTCTTTCACACACCCACACACAGACTGTATAGTCACTGCTGCGCTCCACTATGAGTAGCACTAAAGTTGTTTGTAACTACTGTTCTTTATACTCCTGTTAAATATTCATAATGTGCAACTGCTACATAATTACAATAGTCCATCAACAAAACAATAAAAGTGTTTATTGTTATTATGTTTTTACATGAGAAATAATGTGTAGTCACTATTTTTTCTTCAATAAATACAGTACATGACAATGTGCAGGACAAACATTTGGCATGTGTGCATGGTAGGTTGTAGGAAGGAACCTTGTGGGATAAAAAAAAAAAAACAACAAAAAAACCAGGTTCATTTTATGTTCACTCCACTTCATTCTTAAGTCTTCTGGAGAGCACTATAACAGACCCAATATCAATATAAAGGATAAATGTTTCATCAATAAGAAATCACCATCAGTTCCATGATATGCCTTAACAGAAGCAAAGTGGTTAAAAAAAACACACGTTTGTTGTGTCTTATTATAACTTCATGGAAGGCACTTTCATTAGCACCTTATTTTAATTCTCACTCCCACAGGCTGAACCACATTCAGCCTCAGCAGGGTACAGAAACATCCTTTACAACAACCCATAATCAAACAGGTCTCTGATAAACCAGACAACAATGCCTCGTGGCTCAGGAACAGCAGAATAAAAGAGCAAACAATAAAGACCAGTGTTCACCGACAGAATATAATCAACAAAGTAAATAGTGGTTCCCTTTTTGGTATTTTGTAGTCCTGTAGATGTACCAGCCACCTCAGTCAGTCTTAATATCCAGTGATTCTCAGCACGGTAGAGTCAACTGTCACAAAGTGTTTTAACATTCAGATGTGTACAGCCTCTCCTGAAGGGTGCACACTACTATTTGCTGTCTCTCGACATAAACTCAGTCTTGAGGTATCTGAATCAGCTCGTGCCAACCGTGAAGTATCCACTCGTGATCAATCTTCAACACTCACATTGTTTTGGTAAACATCCATCTGTATAAAACTGTATTTCGCATTCATCAGGCAGCTTGAGAACTTGATCAGCATCACACAGGTAGAACAGGGCTGTCGGGGTCGGAGCTGACTGGATGAGGTGTGTCGGGTCCTGTGTTGGTGTAGATGCTCTGAGGAGATGAGATGTCCAGACTGGATGAGAGGATGTTGTATGGCAGCTCCAAAGACTGGCGGATGCTCTCTTCATATGTTGGAGGAGGCTGAAGGAAAAACAAGACAGACTTTTAAGAACAGAGTTGAAAATACACTCAGTGGCCACTTTATTAGGTACAGTTCAACAGCCATAAAGTCTTTTTATTACATCTTATGTAGTAACTCAACAAAATCTAATACATTTTCACTATATTATGTAATAATATCTGCATTTTGTAACAATTTGCCGCATTTTGTAAAATAACCTGAACCCAATATGATAAATTATTACATATTGTGGTGGGTATTATAAAATGTGTGAGCACTTTTGAATAAGCTGAAGCTTTTTGATGGTGTTTTAGGGGAGCACTGTCAAAAGACCACTGCAGTAGTCAGCCCTAAAGCTTGAATGAGTTTTTCCGGGTGGACATTTGTCATAAAGTGCCTGAGTTTGGCTGTATTTGTAAGATGATAACAAGCTGATTGTGTTACTGCTTTTATGTGGGTATTTAGACTAAAAGCAGAGTCAATTATAACACCAGGGGGCACCACAGGGCATATGAGTCTAATTTAATATTTGGGAAGTTCAATTTATAGTTAAAAATATAACATGTGTACAGTTTCAGATTGTTACAAAATGTGGATGATTGTTACATAAGGAAGTGAAAACTTATTACATTATTTGAGTTATTACATAATGAGTTACATATAATGTCCACTATCACACACTTGAGCTACCTCTCAATGTAATGTAGTTCAGTATAACAACACCTTTAATATCACCTCAATAATAAACATATAATTCAATTTACACATTTCCAACAATTACCAAAAAACTGAACATTGTTATCTTTGTAATGATAGAATGGTTATTGTATTGTTAAAGATTAGAGAATTACCCTACAAAGTGATTTAGCGTGTTTCGGTTTGTTTTGGTTTTCACACCCTGCAGTGGTTCCCTCTCATTAACCTTGTTTACAGCCATCACAGGTAGCTGTTTTCACTGTACACTCAGCACCAAACAACACACAGTCAAAGACATCAACTAGCTGGTGAATATAATGCAGCATTTAGAACCACATATTTCTGTCAGGAGATGGCGGAGACCAAAATCAGAGCTAAAACAGAGTGAATATTGGATTTACTGGTGTGTCTGCTAAATGTGTAAATAGGCAACCTTTTGCACACATGTCCACCATGATAACTTTAGAAGGAAATATTGTGTTTCCAGCTTGCTGCACTGCAGTGGTAAATAAAAAACCAGTTAATGCAGGTTCAAGGAAAGAAATTAGAAGTCGAGTTCACATATTGCGAGCTTTTCCTCTCTTGCTACCTGTCTAATATAAGTGTGTAAAGCCATTTGAGACTACCGTATTACTGTGATTTGTGATAATAAAAAAACTGTAAACACTAATTAACACAAAAATTCTTCAGGAGAATTAAAACATCAGAAGAAGACAGACAGAAAATGTTATTTCCCAGGATGAGTGTGTTGCTTGGAAAACATCCTGAGGTCTGATATCTCTCCCTAAAAGTATGTGAAATATGTTTGTATTTACATTACCAATTAATCTGTCTACACACCGGACGCCTGTAACATATTTTTCTCCAATGCATTATCTCTCTGATCACATCTGGTGGATTCACACTCCCTGACTCAGTCTTCTTATCTTTTAATTGCTTGGGGACCCTCAGGAGACAAGAGCAACTCTAACCCTGCCCCCTGTCTGATACAAACACACCCCACACACACATCAGGCTGCAAAGTTTTACTACTATCCTGCCTCAGGCCACAGGACAGACAGGAGTAAATTAAGAGGACATCATTTGAACTCCTAGCACAGTCTTAAAGGACCAGTGTGTAGGATTTAGTGGCTTCTAGCAATTTAGCACAAAGGAGAAACTATGGTGGCCGAGCAATGCACGGAAAACTTGAACGCCCCTATCTAGAGCCACTTTCAGTTGGTTTGTCCATGGAAGGTGACCCATGGTGTCTGTAGATATAAACGTCTCATTCTAAAGTAACAAAAACATAACGATTCCTATATTCCATTGATTATACACTAATGAAAACACAGTTGCATTCCTGCCAATAGATCCTAAATGTTACACACTGGACCTTTAAAGGGGGAGGGTGACTTTTAAGCGACCAGTGATGGGTTGAATGGGAAGAAGTGTGTGTGAATGTGTGTGTGTAAGAGATGGGCAGTCATGCTAGCGACTGTTTAATTAAGAAAAAAATGGGAGGTCAAAGAAGGAAAAAACAGTAGAAGACAGGAGCACAAAGCTGCATTCCCGGGCACTGTTTGCACTCAGGATGCAGGCTTTAATTATGTTTGATCTGCCTTTTTCTCATTACCTTGTTTGCTCAAGCGTTGTGGGAGTCAAAAGCTCAGCGAAAGATCAACACGGTAAAACCTTGAAACGCGGCTGCCAACGCAACTCAGCAGTGAGCATTAGATGAGCTGATAGCGCATCCTGTTTACTGCACTCTGAATGCAGTCTAATCTTTGAACAAGCTCTTGTTACAATATTGTATGACAGTGTGGTCATAATAGATATAGCCTACCTCATAATATCTCCATTCATTGTGATACTACAGATAAGCAGCCTCCATAATACGATGAGTTTATATGAGCCTTAGCATTCTTTGAAACTGTAACAGGAGTAAAATATCTTCCTTATTCCCAGGCTTAACAACAGCACCTGAAACACTTCATTGTCAATGCATTTGTGACTGTATCAAATGCTGTGGCACAGTCCTAATCCCTAATTTAGCCTACCTCAGTCACAATGGGCCCATTGAGGCCGAAGCGGTCCGCGATCATCATGTGGATCTGCCTCTGGCGGTCCTTCTTTCGGACACTCTCGTAGGAGGGGAGCCTCGGCAGGGGGGCCTCCAGTGTGGGCAGGCTGTAGCTGGAGGGCAGGCCGACGTAGAAAAGCTGACCCGCCTGCTGAGACACACACACACACAGAGGGACGGTTATATGGGCCAGGAAACAGAAGCTTTTATGTGCGGAGGACTTGTGGATAATGGTCCGAATATACCCCATCACTGAAACCCACTTTGAACCATAACACAGCTGCAGTCATTGAAACATTCACTTCAGAGCCACTGTACAGTATGTGTCTTTATTAGCTGCCACACAGGAGAGGAGGCCGCTGCTTTGTGGGGCTGATGATGCCAGTCACTCTCTCACCTGAGTGTCGTCCATGATCTGAGTCTGCTCGAGACAAGGAGACCCCACCAGTGTCTGCCTGCTGCTGTAGTACTGAGGAAGAGCATCCTGTAAAACAAGCAGTCACATGTGTGTCTCAGAGAGCAGAGTCTTGGTTATTAATTAAACCGTTACAAGCATTTATCAGTTTATATCTTAACTAGATGTTCTACATGATGGTTCCTTGTTGCCTGTCTGCAATTAGTCAGAAATCCACTAATTTCAGCCCAATTTACCAATTTTCATGCCTTGTTTAATCACTGTAGACACTGGCTGGTTTAGCAGTACCATAAATTATCTAATCAATAAGACGAACACCCTCCGATTTCCGTGCCTCCTCCCTGTCCCACCCCCTCTAAAACAAGACCTGTCAGAGTCTCACTGTATGAGGTGCAGGAATTGTGAAAAAAAGACTGCCAGGAAAACTAGGTAATTGCCTCGGGTCTAAATGAGTCTCCTTTGTGCGGAGAACAATGTGGTGTCCTACTGTGTCATCAGGGTCCCTAGGCAACAAACCACACCGTGTGGTCTTTTCAGCGTCTCTCTATTCCCCTTGTAACTGCAGCAGGTACCTCTTAACGAGCACACTCCAATACACATTATGGCCTCGTATGTCATTTGGGCCGGCATTACAACAAAGTCAATTTGTTGCCTGACTGATATTTAAATCCAGCGTGAGGATAAGAGATGTTAAGGACAAGATGATGAAGGTTTCCTCCGACAAAGAGGCAACAAAAGTGGGAGCTCAGCCTGCAATAACACGGAGTAGTATAGAAATATCAGATTTATCATTTTCCCAGGCCAGTTAAACGGTGACATCACTCACACTTAGAGTGACGCACTCTAACGACCTTTGCCATAACCCTCACATCATTTCAGAGAGAGAGAGAAACGACACCAAAAAGGTGATGTCAAAGGTCACTTTCCCTCACTGGTTTGTACTTTTAAGAGGCAAAAAAAAAGTCCTCAGGAAAGAGAAAAAAAGGAGACTTGTCTTTTTGTCTCCTGCCATTGATTCAGCCAGTGTGAAAAAGCACAACCGTGTAAAATCAGTGTTGAAGTCGGGGGAGGACCCCAGCGGCAGTGTGCCTTTTTCACCGCCGCAAACCTAAAGGAGATCCATTGTCCCCCTTGTGTCCCCAACACCCACAGTGGGGTCTGCCCACCATTCATGGTGCAAACTGAAGCAGGGAAAGGTATGTGACTATGAAGTTGAAGACATGAAATGTCCCACAGGAACACAATGAAAGAGTGTTTGTGTGTGTTTTCGTCAAGGAATGACTTCACTTCTGTCTCCTTATAATTAAAAGAAAAAAATGGCTTTTTCAATCAAATGTCAGTTACATGTTCAGGAAAAATCTGCCAACTCTTACATATATTAATCATCCTATAACAAATGAAACTAGCAGTATGGGTGCTGGCACTCACTGACCTGACAGTAAGTTAGTGCCGTTGTCTTATCAGGCACAGCGTGTATGGATACAGCTGTAACTAGAGGTCAGCATGGCCAGTTTGTGCCAGTGTAACGCTCTGTTAGTTCCTTAAATGGCACAACAACAGAGCTTCTCCATTAAAAGCGCAGCCGAACAGAGCTTCCTGTCCGTTGAGGGGGAGTTCTGTCTCTGCAATCCGAAGATAACACTGAAACTTCACCCCTGGGACTCACAGAGGTGAGAAACAAGTCAGGAAGAGGAAGCCCAGAGAATGGGGCAACCAATGAAAAGTTACTTCTGTGGAGTGTTTACATTTCCATCTCAGCTCATCCTGCACCATCGCCTACAGCTTTTTACACACAGTCGATCTTTAGTAGATAGAGAGATATGTGGTGCTGGATTTCAAAATGTGATTAATAATGATACAAAATGCCACATGCTCCCTTAAAAAAAAAAAAACCTAAAAGACTGGGTTGTTCTGCTGTACCTGCTATGCCAGTGAAACACAATCTGATTTTGTAATGATTTAATTACACTGGTGCTGAACTAGCATCAATATGCTTGTTAAGTGCTAATTCCGTCCAATTCCATTAGAGTTACTGTGGCACTCACAGATATCTCTGGAGGGCACCTAATTTAACTGAGGCAAATCTATTGCCTGACAATGATCATATCAAGTTTATTTTGGTCCTTTTTTCCACAACCATGCAAATTGAATGTGACACTTTTTAATGGCGCTACACTGGGTGCACACAGTGTCTTTGTGCCTGGGTCCTCTTTCTCTCTCAGTGAGATCTCACTCAGTGAACATACAGGTCACTTTAAAAAAGGAAAACTCAGCACAAAAGAGACTTTCTTCCTTTTGTTTTTTTCTCTCCAAGAGCTTACCATATCTGCATGTGGCCCTTGATAGGAGCGCAGTTTGCAGCACTGAGGATCCTTGCGGTAAATAATGGACAGCAGCACCACGATAACCACAAAGAACACCAGAGAAGAAACTGCAGGAGAGACGGGAGTGTGTGTTAATCACAGTTCAAGAGACGCTGTGTCTTTACTGGCTTCATCATGTAAAACAACTTGTAAAAGAACAACATCAGAACAGTTTTTTAGCAGTTTAAATCTGTGAATTTGTGAAGTTTAGTAAATGAAATATAAGTTGATACACTTTGAACACTTTTGATTGACAGTCTTTCTCTACCATTTGAACACTTAAAGGTGTAATCTCTCTTCTTTTCCCTCTGCCTGTCTATCAAAAACATTGACAGCTTGAAAATAATAGACCTGATAGACTAATTGTCATTAAGTATAATTATGATTTAAAGCTTTGAGTGCAATTTGTGACAATCAAATTAGCTGCTATCTCCTGTCACCACATGTGGAAGATGAAAAAAGAAATGATCTAGTACAACCCTTAATAATGCTGCAATGTGGCTAGATTAAGTGCAAATACTGCTCAGCAAGCGGACAAATAAAGATCTGCTGGATATCACATGATTAAAATGACATATTCTAAAGGATATCTAGTACAATCTTCTTTATTTGTAATATTTTCTGACAGTTTAAAGGTTTCACTTACAGGACGCAGCGACCACTGTGAGTTGATCCGATGTCAGCTGTGAGGAGGGGGTGGTTGGACTTGCAGTTGTGGACATTTCTTCTGTGTAAACTGTTAATGTTCCCTTTAAAAATCCTCCTGAACTCATCAAACTCAACACAAAGGCTATCATCTTACATCTCAGAGGGGAAGAAACGGAGACCGGCTCTGTTGCTCTTCTTCATGGTCCCGGACACGGTGACAGTCAGTCCACATGCGCCCCGCAAGTCGGATCAAACTCTCCTCTCGGTAAACATGCCTCAGTGTGTGAGATGAGCCCGTGAAGGCGCACTGACGCCCTCTCCTAACCGCGTGACGTCGCTCTGGCTCTGCGCTGGACGGTGCTCTGGTTTATGGGTTGGCACCGGCAGGGAGCAGCGGGCCACTAAAGCCAGGAGACTTATTACTTAAGCTTATTGACATGGATTGTTTAATTCACAAAAAAAAAAAAAAAAAAAACCTTATGTGCAGGTCAGGGGGGATTTCTCACTTGGAAAAACGCTCCCCTCCAAAAAACCCCCAGCAATATGTGTTATTTAATATCCATGCGTAATGTCAATATACATCCGATATTCCTTATTACAAACGGTCCCAATGATGTTCACAAAGTAGACAAGTGCTGCTTCCTCCGCCGTCTATAATTAATCCACCCAGACCAGCAGCACACTGGATGCCTGAGCTGGACTCCCGTTACCCTGGAGACTGTGGGGGTCCCGTCCTGAGATGATTTCTATACAGACAAAGAGCCTAAATGTAGCATTAGAATTCATAGACGGGAACTATGTAAAATATGCCTTCTTATTCAGCTTAAATAGCCTTCAAAACGTTATATTTGACCATGTTTGAATATTAAGCTTCGCACAGCATGTCTATTAATTAAAGGGCATTCTGTGACATGAGAAATGTTCCTGATTCTTTCGTTTTATTTTTATCAGAAGTGGCTATGATCTTAATCTTAACTCAAAGTAGATCAAATCTTAAAGAGCTGCATAAGGCAGCAGTAAAGAACCTGCCAAATTCATGTGAGGATGCACTGATCCCTTATCATGAAACATATATGTATATAAAGGATACAGAATTACATGTTTAAAAAACAATAAGTTAACATAATGTGGATGATTAAAACATGCTTCATTTAACTTGTGTGTACTGGAGGGACTCAATGAGAATATGTTATCATAAAACTTCTGTAGAAAAAGTTCTGTATGTGGAGGCAACATCAAACATAGGCTAAATTATTTTGGTCCTCAGAGAATGAAATAGTTCAGAAACATTACATCACTACTGTTTGATTTACTTAGGAGGAACTTCAAATGTTTTTTTTTTCTTTTATATGATTTATTTATGAATCTACAAAACACTCTAAATCAAAGAGATAACATATTAAAGTGAGGATGTTTTCTTCAAAAATGGTCCCAAAATGTTGAAATTAGTTAGTCTGTCTTACTTACCAAGCAATATAAGATATCAGTAAGGTGCAAATCCAACAAAAGCGGTGATGTGTTATTGTTGGATTTGCACATTACTGACATCTTATATTTACACATTTGTTCTACAACAGTAAATAGCCTAAAAATAAAACTTTTACTAAAAGTTAAAACTCTTTTATCTTTACTTCTGACCTGTGAGAGGGTCTGATAGTTTGCCACCCACCCCCATCTGCTCAAAACTGAACAAAAAATGACCACAACGTTAAAACCTTGAATTAAAACTGACCTGATTTATTCGCCTGTATCTTTGAAGACAAACTTTTTGCAGCAACCTGAGGATGGCGAGCGACACCGCGTGCGCGCGCAGTTCAGAATGCGCCCTGCACGCGCTCCCCGTCATCTGGAGTCGAAAAAATGGTGGCCAGCGCGCGAGTGCAGAAGCTGCTCCGACGATACAAACTAGCGATTGCCGCCGCTTTAACTATCCTCCTGGTCCAAGGGCTTGTGGTATGGAGTCTGAGAAGTCTGGAGGAAGGCGAGGCGGAGGTGAGTCCACAGTCCCTCCGGTTATTTCTGTCTCGAGACTGATTCGGTTTGGGTTTAATTGTAAAGCTAGCCGTTAGCGCTTGGCTTAGCTCGCGGTGTGTTATGATACAGTAACGTTAGCTGACGTTAGCTCTGTTAGCAGCTGGAGAACAGCGAGAACAGCGAGAACAGCGAGAACAGCTCAGAAACATTTCTACCGGACCAGCCCCGTCTTGTCTGTCTGTCTGTCTGTCTGTCTGTCTGTCTGTCACTGACCACAGCAGCACACGAGTACAGCACAGCACAGTCAGTGTGTTTGCTACATGCTCATATTCCAGTCACTGGTACTCACAGTCCTCTGATATATAAATATAAATATAAATAGTAGTTAACTTGTTTAAGGAGCAGCGGTGATCTTATCGCCGGTGGTTGTCATTACACTGTGTGGTGTTAACACAATGTGACGATGAGCAGACTCTGAGTGAGAGGATGTCTGGGAAGGGATGCAACTTTTTTTTTTTTTTTTTTTTTTTTTTTGGAAACACGTGAAAGCATTTCGTTATAATTTATTGATTGGTAACAGTTCATCAATACGAGCTGACCCGGGATATTATGTATTCTGTCTATCTGTTCAACTTTAGTTTTATATTCTCGCTCATTTATATCCCCCAGAGGCCTTTCTCTGTGGGGGCTGCTCTGTCTCTGTGACCTTCACTAAGCTCTCAATCATCCCAAAACACCCCGACAAGAAGCATATCCCGGGGATAAATAGGGGTTAAAGTTAAGCAGAGAGTTGCCTCCACCTCATACCACTGAAAAAATATATGCACCGTGGGAAGCTTATCTCCTCGTCTCCCTCGCACACCTGGAGCACACTACCTTGAGGCAGTCCCTGCTCCTGTTCTCCCTAAATAAGGTAAGGGGAGTTGTTAACAGATGTGACCCGCGGAGGACTGTGCATACTGATAGAGTCACAGGAATGCAAGCTGAAACCTGAGTTGGGAACCTTGCTGCCTCTCTATCATGATATGACAAGCATGGACGCCGGTGTATAATATTGCTCCTAACATTGATAGATGGCAGATCTGCGCCTGGGGGGTGAGGCAGGCAGCAGATGTAATGCTTCAGTGGGGGAAAGATGTTTATCAGAGAGGGGAAAAGAGGGATCATGATACTGTTGTTAGTGCCTTGTGTCCACCAAGACAATTATGTGGACCAATTCGCTTAACTGTAAGCGAAACAGTAAACACAAAGCTCATTTTCAGTAAGTGCCTGGTCCTTTGCAATTCGTTTAATAGGAGTGACGCCAGTCTAGATGAAGTAATCCATTTCCTTGGCGCACACTTAAAAGTGACATTGTGACAAAATGGGAAGTGTGGCGTTGACGTGCCGTTTTGCAGAAGTAATGTTCCTTCTAACTTCCATCATCAGGTTTATTCAGGCTTAAACATGCTTCAGCAAAGATACAGAGGAATGTCTGTAGAGGTCTGTGTTTAACTTTAGCTCACCTAGGACTGTAAAGGCGTGCCCACCTCTTAAAACCTCAACACATCTTCACATAGTATTTGCTGTCATTTTATTAATAATCCTATTTCAAATTCAGCTAATAATTAATGATTAAAAGTTGAAAACAGGTCTCATTCATTCCTTGTAAAACTTCAGCTTCAGAAATGTGACACTGCTGCTCGCTGCACTTGTCAGCCTGACATGCAACTATGTTGGCAGACGTCTATGCAAATGTCATCCATGTTTGCAGAGTCACAGATTCAGAATCAAATTTCAGGCTTAAGAATGCATATTAATCATCACTTCACCTCTGAACGGTGCAGTGGCTGCATTCTTCCATGCTCCGTGGTCTCTCCGTTAATTTGCTCTGCTCTAATCAGTGGCTTGCAGTGCATGTGTGAACACAGAGGAGGGAAAGGATTGTGAGGACAGAAAAAGAAGACAGCCTTGTGTCACCTTCTGCCTCTGTGTGCTCCCCTACAGAGTGGAGTGCTTGCTGCTGCTTCCCGCTTCAGCAGATGGCGACGCTGATATGGTTTCACTCAACTTTAATTGGAAAGTAAAGACGCTGCCTGGCTTGCCTTTGAATCAATACGTTTTTGACTTGATGGTGTTAATTAAAAGCTGCGAAAACGAGTGATAAGGAAAATTGAAACGTTAGCCCCTGCTGCATGCTTGTCTTCTGTGTGAGAACACTCTTTTCAGCTGAAAAGTAAGTCATGTTGTTATCAATGTTAGCTGCCCTGTTAGATATCACACTGGTGTTTATATTAATTTTGCAGCTATGAGCCACCATAGAGAGAAAATGTACTGCCACCACAAATTGTGAAATGTTCTAAAAATTTTAGAAGATTTCTTGTTAAAGAACAACCATTTTTATCATAATTAATTCCCAAAATAAGAATTGCCTTAATTCTACGATTCGCTTCTGACCCAAAACTGAGACCAAAGCAGAACAGAAAGGGCACAGAGTTGTTACATCCCCAATGCTGTTGTCTAGCTTTGCTATTAAACAGACCTTTCCAAGAAAAACTGTTTACATATACATAAATATGAGTTTGTTCTGAGAAATTAGATTAAGACAGAAATCAGAAAACCCTTTTTATTCTCTGACTTAATGATTGCAGCTAAAGGTTTAGTTTGACTTTGGATTTCACTATTTTAGATACAGCAACGCTGCTGCACTGCTGTCACATTGACGCTTCTATTAGAAAACCCAGTTATACACTACATGGTGAAGAAATTAGTTTTCTTCAGCAGGAATCTAGCTGTGTGAACCAGGTGACAATAACCAGGTAACTCAAATGCATGTAAACTCACTGAAAGAGGCTTGCACTGCAATGACTGGTATAAAAGTGGGCTCCACAATGCCTCTTACTGTAATGGGTTTGAGAGTGCAGTTGGCAATCAGTAGCTGACTGTGCTGTGTTGGTTGGCAGCTGGTTTATTGGCAGTGTATTATCTGGCTCTTTGTCCTACCACACAGCCCCAGTCTCTCCTCTGTTGCCTCCCTCTCCGGGCTTTTGGCGTGCCAGTGGCGTGAATCGAGCGGGCCCTCGTTCTGCCATATCATCTGATGGAGGCAGAAAGCGCTTAGCCCACTCACTCACTGCACATTTTGAAGGCCTTTCTGTGTGATCCAGTAATCAACTGTGCCAAAGCTGTGATGCTGCCTGGCTAAAAGATTTAAAAAATGGCTTAAGTCCTGCCTTTTTCAAAGCCTGTCCTCCACGTTTTGTAGGTGTGATTTGTGCTCCAGTAAGACTGATTTTCTTTACTCTCGCATTAAAATTGTATTATACATTGTGAAAATGTAGGAAAAATGGAGTGATGGTTGTTGTGTATCCGACACTTGGTCCTCACTTTCATCACAGTACCTCAGTACCTTTGTCTACAAAAACACTGACACTAAACAAAACTTTGTACACACATTTTAGACGAGGGAACAATATTTAGGATTACACCAAGTTCAAAATGTGAAAAAGATACATTTTCCAGCTCTTTTCAAGCTATTTATAATAACTGCAATTTTCTGTTGGAGGAGCACACAGCTCAACACATCCCTTCCCTTATATTGCTGAGTCCCACTGAATGTGCAAATTATTTCTGGACGTTCTGTCTCCTTTAGGGATGTTACAGCCAAATGTTTGCCATGCCAGCTTATTATGAGAGACTTGAACAAGAGTCTATAAATTCTCAGAAGATGATTTAGAGATGCAAATGTCATATGCAAATCCTGAAGTCATTGTGTAATTCTTTGATGAGTTATTAATCAAAATATGGAAAAATATTGTCACGAAGCTGGACGAAACCTGTGCTAATCTGAAACAAATCATTTATGCATAATATATCTGTCTTTGTGTGCTCACATATATCCTTACCATTCATATCTATTAAATAACATTAAAAATTAGGGCACCCCATATGTAATCTCCCTTATTTCTGAGGTTCTCTCTCTCTTGTGTGTGTGTGTGTGTGTGTGTGTGTGTGTGTGTGTGTGTGTGTGTGTGTGTGTGTGTGTGTGTGTGTGTGTGTGTGTGTGTGTGTGTGTGTGTGTGACAACATGTGACACACACTTGTATACATTTTTCTGCCAGAGGGTACAGACGGTTTGTTGAGGTCTCTACAGTGAATCACTGGATTCATTATGTGTATGTACCCAGAACTGTGCTTTTTCAGATTAGCTCCACAAAAAGGCTCAGCTAAAAATAACCCAGATCAGAGAAGTGAAAAAAACCAAAACCAAGTAAACACATCCTTCCCCTGGGCCTCTTTCAGCTGTTGTCTTGGTGGCGGTCTTCGTTTACCTTATGTCATTTTTGGATTGTGAATCAATGCCTCCTCTCAGTTGTGTCCAATATGTTCTTATGGGATGACTGGCAGCAAATCTAGATTTAAATTCTTCCTCTTTCTTTGTCCCGCTTTCTTTTTTACTCCTCTCTCCTCAGAGAAAAATACGACGGTCTAAGTTGCCTGACCACAACAGCCAGGACCCCAAGAAAGACACCGCACTTTGGGAAAAACAAAAGTATTTGTCGGGGAAGAACAGGGGCAGATGGAGCGGCAGATTGGAGAGGACAGGGGGGACAGCAGCCAGTGCGCTGAGGAGAGGAACCAGTCGCAAAGGAGAAAAGCCCAGCATCAGGCTGAAGTCCCACCAGGACCTTTCCAGCAGCCGTAACTTCAGCGAGAAACGAGGGGGCACTGACGGGGCGGCCAAGTTACCTTCCGCCGCCATACTGGGGGAGCCGGGCAGCGTGGACGGGGGACACCAAGTCCCCAGCAGTGACTTTGTGCCTAAATGTGATATCATAGGCAAGGATGCGTTGTCTGCCCTTCATCGCGCTGGGTCACAGCAGTGCCGACAGGAAATCGCCAACATCGTGTGTCAGCATCAGGCTGGGCAGCTCATGCCGGATGCACTCCCTCAGTTCTGCCCACAGCTCGGTGAGGACCCTTTAACATGTGCACAGGAAGTGTGATGATGATTTTTACTCACTGATAGAATTGAGAAGAGAAGAGAAGTTTGTGATGGGTTTTTTTTTTTTATCTTAAGTTAGCCCAGAACATTTAAACATAAGTGTCTCTGTTAGTGTTTTCACTGGGTGTTTGCATATAAAACTCAATTTTTTGTGGTTTTCTGTTCTAAATTAATGGAAAAATGTGTTTTTAACCAGGATCTGTCTCAGATCTTATATTGTTGAGAATATTTTTAAGTCATTTGATCTAGCTAAATACTAAAAACAAAAACATTTGACCCACTGGGATGAACACAAGTATATGTGTATATTGCTCACCACTTTGCATGCATAAATAATTGTAGTACAGTGGTACAAAACACTCCACCCACGGCTCTGGTTTTCTGCGTTCCAGTGAACACTGTTGGCAGCGTTCATGTGTGTGGGCAGCTTTGTTGGAGGAAATGAAAATGAAAAATAAGAAACAAGGACAAAACATCAACCTCCCCTTTTTAATCCTATACACTTCACACATGAACCTCTCATGTAACCTTCTAAAATCTAATTTTATCCATTCAACAGTATCTTTCTCAACACCCAGCCTGCAAGATTGTATTCTTTGAAGCTCTCCAAACCCTGCTAAGTCAGTCCTTTATGTCTCTGTCGTCTCCGGCCAGGTGTATCAAATCAAGTCCAGGCCGTTGGCGAGCTGGACAACAGCTTGTCCAAAGTGGAGAACCCTGTCAGAGTGGCTTTCGTTCTGATGGTCCATGGCCGCGCTGTACGGCAGCTCAAGCGCCTCATCAAAGCCATATATCACCGTGACCACTACTACTACATCCATGTGGACAAGGTAAATCCTAAAAAGAGATCACCCTACAGTCTCCAGTATATATACAGTCCTATCCCTTCTTGCACACAGACCAGCATTATCCAAATGAGAGACAAATCATTCATCTGGAAAAGGTTCTGCTGGTGTTACTAGCTTATTGTTTATTTAAGTGTATTGGGCACCCTGCTTGGTGCTGGCTACACTGAGCTCACAAATGCTTTTACCAGTTAGGTCTTCTTGCATTATGAAGGTTAAATATATCCCACGGGTCTCACAGTGTGTTAAAGGGGATTAGCCTGGATAGAGTAAAGTGTGGTTATTCTTAGGGGCTGGATTTAGTGCAGGAAAAGTCTGCTCTTATGTGCAGCTGGAAGGCCAAAGACAAACGTATGGCTGAGGGATGATGATCCCGAGGCAGAGAAACAGGTGCCTGTCGTCAGTGCACCTGTGTAGCCGGAAAGGTTGTTGCGTCCTGTGGAGTTGCTCTGTTCTGCTGCCAAGGGACGGTGGAGAGGCTCACTGGAGGCAGTGATGAATAAGAAGTCTGTGGGACAGCCACACCACAGACACCATCTTAGACACGTGGCTAACCTCACCTCATTTATCTCTGAGGCAAAAGCCTGTTTGAGAGATGAGGCTGTAAAACAGGTCAGGTTGTACTGGAATCAGTCTACCAGCTCCTCTGCACTCCACCATCCAAACCTCTTTTTTTCCCCCCCTGACGTCAGGATGGAGAGTTTGACTCATTCTGTTGCCTTTTTTCTCTTGCTGTTCTCTTGCCTTTATGAACACAACCAGGATGTTCACAGATACTTGCAATGTCTGAAGCCCTTCGCCTCAACATACATCATCAAGTTTCTTCTACTAAATGTCTTTATTTAATCCAGGAAAGAGTCAGTAGCACATTGTTTGTGCTTCAACAAACACAATTGGACTTCATGTCCCTGAACAATTAATTTCCAAATGTCTGTTTCTCTGAAACTGCCCATTTGTCGCTTCAGAACCTTTTTATTTGTTGTGTTTATTTGTTTGGTTGTTAATTAGTTGGTAATTAATCTAATTTAGCCACAATGGGAATTAAAAAAGAAAATTGTCTCGAACCTACAGATTATGGCTTCCTGCAGTCTTCAGACAAATGGTCGCACATGCTCACTCATAGCTATATATACCACCTTTAATGTCTCTGCATAAAGCTTGACAGCTGCTTGGCTCTTTGGCTTCTTACCTTTCATCCTTTTATTCTCTCTTCAAGTTTAATCCCTGCTTTACTTTTTTTAAGCTGGGTTCATCTTATTTCTGTCACCTATTGCCACTTGTGAGAAGGAAATTTGCTAAAAGGTATAAAAGCTAATTTAAATTTTTTTCTTTTTATTATCATGGTGACCCACAATCCAAAGCACCATGTGGCTGTTCTGCTCAGATCAAATTGTCTCAACATGAGCCAGCTTTGTGCGGTTGTCTTGGCACGGTGGCAGCTGCTGATCTGTGGCAACTAGATTACGTTTGTGACGCAGAAACACAGTTTTCACTCAAATAACTGTCTGTCCTTTTGCTTTGAAATTCTCCAGCGGTCCGGCTACTTGCATCGGGAGGTCCTGCAGATAGCCCAGCAGTACCCAAACATACGAGCCACGCCCTGGCGGATGGTCACCATCTGGGGTGGTGCCAGCCTACTGAAGGCCTACCTACACAGCATGCAGGACCTGCTCTCCATGCTGGACTGGAAGTGGGATTTTTTCATCAATCTCAGCGCTACAGATTTTCCCACCAGGTTGGTCAGCAGAGAAACATTTTGATTGTGTAACTTCTGTTGTCTACAGCAGAATTCCCTCTGTACTCGCTGCATTTTACTCCAACTCTGTTCAAGTGTTAAAAACAGCATGTCCAGTACAAACACTGGTGTTGTATATCAGAGTTAGTCAGTCTTGAAACAATTCCAGTTTGTGTTGTTGCCTTTCTTATTGGTGGGTTAATCTTTCAATACTGCATGGAGATTAGATTTCCTTGTTGACCTACAGAGACAAAATCATGTAGTAGCATAGCATTTGCCAGATGAATAGAGTAGTCTGGTAGCAGCATTAAATTGATTATTTTGGTCACTGAATCACAGAGCTGGCAGTAAATAGTCTACTCACTTGCTGATCAGTTTTTGCTGGATATCTGAGGCTGTTTTGAGCCACTGTCAAAGTAGCTGATCTCTTTTCTTTCTTTCTGAACCACCCCAACGGGGTAATAAGGTTGGATTGGTTGGATGCACACAGATAAGGCAGCATTTTATTTCTAAAGAATCCTCTGGAAATCTTTCTTTTCCTTTCAATTCTCACCTCAACAACTTCCCGCAGAACCAATGATGAACTGGTGGCGTTCCTGTCACAACAAAGAGATAAGAACTTCCTCAAGTCACACGGGAGAGAAAATGCCCGGTGAGTATGCTAGCTGTAAGAGGCACAACCAGCTAAAACACACACTCTGTTGGTGTTTTTTGCTTAATTAAATCTGACATTTCTTAATGTTTAATCCAAACTTTTCAAGTGTTTTTTTCCTTATAATTTAAAGGGTTAGTTTACATTGTTTGACAGAAATGTGCAGTAACTCAGTGGTAGTGGTAAATGATGCATGGACATAAACTCACTCTATGGATCCTGCAGAGATATCCAGCGAGTCGGCAGCCGCAAATGAGACCAATTGATAAAACATTTAAAACTGCATGCTGTTGATATCACATACAAGAGACACCAGCAACATGATAAACTGATTCTTCTACCATTATTTAACAAAGTGTGGCAGCTCAGACAGAAATGGTTTGTTTGATCATTTACTTTGATGAATTCTGCAAACAGCTCCACTGCGTCTCTTCCACGCATCAATTTAAATTGTGCTCTGTGTTGAAGGTTTATTAAGAAGCAGGGCCTTGACCGTCTCTTCCATGAGTGTGACAACCACATGTGGCGTCTCGGGGAACGCAGTATCCCAGAAGGGCTGGAGGTCTCGGGCGGCTCTGATTGGTTTGCGCTCACCCGCCGCTTCGTGGAGTACGTCATCAACTCCCAGGATGACCTGGTGTCAGGGCTGAAGCAGTTCTATTCCTACGCTCTGCTCCCTGCTGAGGTAAGTAAGCATTAGGTGGTCTGTTTATCTTATGTAGTTGAGACATACAGTTTGATATACAAGTCTGTCTCATGCTCGTCCTCCCCTGCCAAGTCAGAAGAGCCTAGCAGCAGAGATAATGTAATACTTTAAGCTTTCAGGCGCAGTGTGCAGCAGAGGTGCCAGACGAGAGTAGGGTTCACTTGAGTTTATCTGACTGTGTGGTTTAATGTCTCAGCGGAGGTGCAGGGGTTTGTTCTCTGTTGTTTGGTGCTATAGAGGCGTGACCTTTTGCAATTTAGAGTCAGTTGTTAGAAACTGTTTATACATGTCTTTGACGGTTTACAGTAACTTAACTCTCACACAACACAGCCTTTTGTTGTATTGCACAGCACAGCAGAATTGATACATTTACTCCTTCTTCCCAGTCCTTCTTCCACACTGTGCTCGGGAACAGTCACATGTGCGACACTCTGGTGGATAACAACCTGCGTGTCACCAACTGGAATCGTAAGCTGGGCTGTAAATGCCAGTACAAGCACATTGTGGACTGGTGTGGCTGTTCTCCCAATGATTTCAAACCACAAGACCTCATTCGGATCCAGGTGAGTGAGCCAGATGGGGGCTATCTGCAAAGACATAGCTTGTACTTTGCCAGTCTCTCGTGTTTTTTTTTACTAGTTTGGTTTAGTGTTCAAATGTTTATTTCTGTTATTTTTGCTTTTTTCGAATCCACAGCAACTGACCCGTCCGACATTCTTTGCCCGCAAGTTTGAGTCAACAGTGAACCAGGAGGCCATAGACATCCTGGATACTCACCTGTACGGCCAGTATGCTCCGGGCACCATTGCCATCAAGGCGTACTGGGAGAGCTTGTTTGAGCAGTTGGATGGAGTGGGCTCACTCAGTGACGTGGCTCTCACTGCTTATACTTCTTTCTTTCGTCTGGGCCTCAAGAATCTGGTGACTATTCAGAGCAACATGGAGGCCTGCAGGTGTGTAGACTTTTTATTTATTTTTTAATCTCTAAACGTTATAAAATGCATATTTCTGTGCTGAATTGAAAACATTTTCATTTCTTATGTATGATTTGTTTTTTCCACTTCCAACTGCAGGTTTGAACCAGTAGGCTTCCCCCTCTCGGTACACTTGTACTTTTATGACGACCGTTTCCAAGGTTACCTGGTGCGTCAGGAAGTCCAGGCTGTGGGTTCAAAGGTCAGGGAGACACTGGAGGTGTGGGCAGTGCCCCAAGCCACGCTGGTCCTTGAGAAAAACCTCAAGGAGTTTGAAAGGCTAAAGAATCTGGAAGTAAGTCACCTTCTCATCTTGTCTGCTTGTCTCAAAAGGATGACATTATTCTCAACATTGAAGTTTCAGTCCTGTATCAACTTTTAATATCCTGGTACCTTAAGAAAACTGCTGTCTTGGAAGATTTTCTTCCTGATATGAAAAAATTGCAGTGGTTTGATCATGGTTTGATCTGGTCAAAACTGGACCTTGAAGTTTAATTAGTTTAAAAAAATATGTTAATATTGGTGCTAACGCTAACATATTCTCTCACCTTGTCCTCAAATCAAATATGAAAGTCAGAGACACTGGAGACTTTGTTTTTCTGTACTGTGTAAACCGTTATTGTTTCAGGACTTTAAAGACTGAATCATTTTGTCTTTCTTCCTGGCAGATTGGCACTGACTGGGATCCTAAAGAAAGAATCTTTCGCAACTTTGGTGGGGTGATCGGCCCTTTGAATGAACCACTGGCGGTCCAGAAGTGGGCACGTGGTCCCAACCTCACTGCCACTATTGTATGGATTGACCCAGCTCTGGTGGTGGCAGCATCTTATGACATTACCGTGGATGTGGATGCAGAGTACACCCAGTACAAACCCCCACTGCAGCGTCCCCTGCGGCCCGGTACCTGGACTGTACGGGTGTTAAAACAGTGGGAGCGGGTGGCGGAGGCTCACTTCCTGGTCATCCCCTTAACCTTCAAAGATAAGGAGCCACTACGCAAAGGTGAGACATGAATTCATGGAGCATTTGGTTTTCATTATGTCAGTTTAAAGGATAAAGCCAGGGATATTGTATATTTGTCTTACTGTCAGCAATTGAAATTGAACAATTGAAAGACCAAAACCAACAATGTCTTAGTCTATCTCTAAATGAAGGAACATATCACCATTGCAGCAGTGTGGCTCATTAATGTGTTTTAGACTACAATGGAGCTCCCTTGTAGTAGTAATAATAATAATATGTGGTAACTCTTCTGGTAAGTTTTTTCATCTCCCCTTTCTTTTTCTTGTCTTTTTGTTTGAATATCTGAATGTCCATTCCAGAAGAGGACAGCTGGCTCCATGCAGGTCCTCCAGGCAACTTGTACCTGGAGCAGAGCTTCCAGCAGCTGAACTCCGTGCTGAAGCTGCCTCCCCAGGAGTCTGCCATGCTGGAGGCTCAACGTAAAGCCCAGCTGGTGGGTCAGCCCCTCGAGGCGTGGGTGGACAGCAGCATAGGGACTTTCTGGGTTACAGGTGACCTGTGCACCACACAGACTTCCTCTTGCCCTGCTGTGAGACTGTGTTCCAAGACCTCCTGGAGCTCTCTGTCCCCAGATCCCAAGTCTGAACTGGGCCCAGTCAAAAGTGATGGGCGGATCAGGTAGCCCCAAGAGAGGAGATGCTGTAGACTTAAACACATAAGCAGGAAGACTGAGAGAGAGATGGACCTGCACTGGAGATCTCCAAGAGAACCTGTGTGAACCAGATATTGTCTCAGAGATCTGCTCAGACCTCAAGGGCACATAAGCAACGAGACATCTTCCTGCACTGAGGAGTCGAGATATTCTTGGTGAAATGGAAATTCAGAGTTAAAAGAGGACGATACGACTGCTGGAAATTTGCACATAGATGTTTGCAAGCGCAAAGACTTTTATATTGATATTTTGCTGGCACACATTTCAGTCCAGGTCTGTTTGGGTCGCAGTTTGAAAAGAACCCTCTGTGCACGTTTGAACCCGGTTTGAACGCACAGCTTTTAGTTTTTCCTCTGCTTTGAAAGAATCAGGAAGCAGTTGTCAAAACTCAACAACAGGCTCCTTGCTGTGTTCTATCTTCATTTCAAGGGAGAGTGGAACTTCTGAATCATATTATTGTGCTTATTTTGAAGCATTATTATGTAAGCATACAGAGCAGATAGATAAAGTGCACTTTACTGTAAGACTATAATGTTACACAGAGGTCACTTGGTTACAGTGGGAGAAGTTCAAAAAGTCAAAAGGTCTCATTACTTCATTTTACTGTGGATACCTGCACTGTCACTCCCCTGCACATACACGTCCCTAAATACTTATAACCCGTATTAGGGAAACATTAAGAAAGAGGTGAGAGTTCTTAGGTTTTATAGAGGTAGGTCTTATTTTGTTTTTAGTTGTGTTTACTGTGTCATATCATTTTTGAACATGTGATTTAAATTTAATTTTTTTTTACTTTTAGTTCCCTGAACTGGCTGTAAAGTGTTAGGTTGTCTTTGCAAAAAAAAATGTCCACTGTTGCAAAAAAAAAAAAGCCACTCTGAGTTGTCTTTCTGGTCAAAGGAAGTGCCTAGACAGCAGCAGCAGCAAGGCTGCAGATAGTGAGGTTGCATTCAAAATTCTTCTGACATAGACAGCAATCACAGCTCAAAACATCGAGCTACAGCTGTATGACCACTGAGTAAACCTGTGACGATGAAGACCGTTGATATAGCAACAACCTTTAGTGAATAAGTTTCAGTTTCAAAGGTGGTGTGCTTTTTGGCTCCAGAATTATTTGAACTAAAGCAACCTTGGCAAGGCCAAGAAAATGTGGCTAAACCTTTAAAGGAATAGTTTTGTGAAATATGTTTATTCTTGTCAAGAGTTAAATGTTGATACTATTCTCACGTTTGTACGGTAAATATAAAGCTACAGCCAACAGCTGGCTAAAGTAGCTTAGCATAAAGACTAGAAACAGTGGGAAACCGCTAGCCTGGCTTCCAAATGTCTCCTCTCAATTAGTGAGCTTTCGAGGACAGAACAGAGGTACCTTCATATCACCATACAGACGTGAAAGTTGTATCACGTATTTGTATTTATTTTAAATTCAAGACTTTCAAATAGCAGACTTGGTTAGACACAGTGTTATACCTCCTGTTTATCAGTTAATATGCAGTATTGACGCTGTGTGTGCGCTGTTCGCCTCACAGGTTGGTCATTGGTTCAGATCTCATTTCTTAAGGTGCGTTTCAACACGAAATCCACCAATCAAAAACGGTAAACAGACCACTGTATGTTTGTGTTTTTATTTTAGCGTGATCAAGAGAATCTAAGCTGCCTTTATTTAGTCTAAAAGATGAATTGTTTACTACGGGATAATAGCTTCCAGAGATGTGCAATGAATGCCTTTTCAGAAGATAGCGAAACCCCCTCTGTCTGTGTCTTAGTTTTAATTTTTACCTAGTTTTATGTGAGCTTTTACGTTTTTAAATACTAGTTGGCCACCGTATGAGTTTTCAAGTGACCTTGTTTACCTTGCACAGCACAGTTGCTTCAGTGAAGCCCCAGTTTGATAGATACAAGAGAGCAGAGCAATCAACCTAACAGATGTTATTTTTCTATACTGTTTGAGAGGAGGAGTGTGTGTTGTCCGTTCATCAGTGCTCTGTTAAACTATTAAAAATTGCTGTCTAATTATGTTGTGTTTGACAGTCCCACCTGTTCAGTTTCCGTTGAAGCAGACCTTACGGGGTTTTTTTTGAGGGGGTGGTGGGAGATTGTGGTCTCCGTCCGCGCAGCAGTCCAGTTGGTGAGTCATCCTGAGCCCTGTGGCTCTTATGTGAGTGTTTCTGCCTGTCACTGTATGCCTCTGGAAAAGCTCATAGGATAGGCATCGTGACTGATGACTCAATAAAGAAAACACTTAAATGAAAGATTTGGTCATGCTGTTTCTTCTTTCTTCATCTCTAACCGAATCTTGTGGTGTTGGGGCGGGGTGGGGTAATACCTGATGTTTCTTCCAGATGTGCTACATTAAACCAACTTTTCTGTCTGTATGTTTATAAGGTGTTTTCCCTTTAAAGCAGATGGAGGAGGTAGGACATGTTTATGAGGAGGAGAGGCGCTCTCCAGGGTGCTGAACTCTTCCTCGTTGTCACTTCCTTGTTTTAATGCCCGACATGGTTTTATCTCATAAATACTGTAAAGTACACCTCCGTGTTTGTCTCCAACCGGAAAGCTTTCATACAAACATTTGGTCCGATTGTGCGTGCTCCAACTACAGGAGTCGGGGTAGTTGTGCGTCTTTTGTTGAGGCTATAAACCCGAGGCATGCAGAGGAGGAGGGGGGCGGAGGTGATAAGCGACATGCGGAGGGGGGGGCAAAAGACCGGGCAAAGCTGAAGGAGAGGAAGTTTATTTGCAAAAGTCCCTCTGCTTTTCTCCATAAAACACGATTTAAGAACAAAGAGGATGGAGGACACACGAGAAAGTCCGAGGCGGGAGGAGCTGAAGCTGGTTTCCTCGGACAGTGCGTACGGGTCATCTGCGGTGGACACGGACACAGAGGACGGACAGACACCCACAGCCAACACCTTCCCTTATAATGAAGACATAACGCATAAGGTGATAACTTACTTTTGCTCTAATTCTCTTTAGATTTGTCCGGGAAAATGTCCAAAGAGTCCAAAACTAAACAGAATTACAGCTAATCTTCACTCTAATAGTGAGAAATTTATGTAAATTCAGTTATTCAGTGTTATATAACGAAACTAAAATACGATTATTATTATTATAACATATATCAATATTTGCTTGGAAAAGCTCACAAATTAAGATATTTTAACTTTAAAAAAAAAAAAAGTATTTAGATAGAAATATCTGATGGAGGCATTCGAAATTAAATTGTTTTATTTCCAAATCTTAAAGAATTCCAAATAAATGACATTTTTCATTAAACTTAAGCAACTTAGTCTAAACTGTGTCCATAACAGATTGTTAAGCACGTTATCAACAAGTTATTTAAAAAAATAATCTAAATGAATGTGATAAACTTGGTAGCATTTGACACCAAACTGGGGTGGCCCCCCTCCAGATCCACTGCCAGCTGATATCTGTACTAAATACAGTAAACTAGGAACCCCAAAGTGTTCAATATTAAATATAAAACACAATTAAGAAACGCTCTTTCATAAATATGAATAAAACGTATATAAAGTAGCCCACAACCTGTCAGATAACTGAATGCATCAATAAAAATCAAGTAATTATTATTAAATGTATGTTCACAATAACTAATAGTAATTATTGCATATATGTTTATTCAATTAAAGACATTTTTATCTCAACATTTTTATATATTTTTAAAAAAAAACTCTTTCTCTTCCCAATCACTCTCTTATTTTTTTTTTTTATTCCATAATGACACTATCTGACATGTTCTGCCACAGTGAGACCGCCTCATCAGAAAGCTCAACAACTGCTACCAAATGTAACCAGTTTGCTCCTGTTAATTACTTGCACTACCTAATTAGTGTCTATTTAATACCGAACACTTTGGGGCTCTATAGTTAACGTCTGGTTCACAACCTTTATGGCTTGAGTCCCATTAAAACAAAAAAGTGATATGCCTGTGAGTCCTGAGCAGTTCACAGTGATGTAACCTTCTCAACTTGTTTTCATATATCTAATATATATAGCCCCGAGCTAGGAACTACTGCAGTACGCCAGAAATAATCCATAAGCTATTTCCTAGGTACACTTGTACAATCTAATGCAATCCAATGTAACATTTGTAATAAATCCTAGAACCAAGTTGAATCAACACCTCTCTGACAGTGTCTGATCAATATGACCTTTAAATATGTTTCCCTAAATGTCATAGAATTGCGCAGTAGTTCATTAGCTTTGCTGTTTGCAGATAAGTCTCCACCTTGTTTGATTTTGGGTGATGTTAGAATGTGTTTCTCCAGAAAACGTATCTCAGTGATGTGTCTGTGTGTCTGTGTGGGTGGTGGGCTGGATGAAAGAGAGCACAGGAAGTTCTGTGTTTCATATTAAAACCCTCAACTGAATTAGCTTTACTGTTATCTACTGTACTGTTATCTTTGCAATCACTGGAGCGAGTACATCATTGGTATTCATGACTAAAAACTTGTTAATCCTCAGTGTATGATCATATCCAGCAAATTAGGAGCCAGCTTCCTCACCTAGATGTGGAAATTCACTTGTACACATGAGAGAAAGAGATAGTTTCATCATAGTTTAGCTGCTGAGAGCTCCATCCTGATTTCTAGGTTTCCTAGGTTATATTATTACAGTACTGGGTTAAACTTATTTTGTCTATTACCCGTATTAGTAAAGTAATAATAGTAGGTCACATTATACAACAAAAAGCTTGCTTCTACAGTCTGTGGGAGGATATTTGCAGATATGTTGATGGTTTGAGTCCTTTATTAGCTTCAAGACTCTCAATAACTCAACTGTTCAGTATTAGTGAAATAAGTAGAGCATTGTGTGTGAGCCCTGAACAAGCTCCTGCTTGCTCGGTACTCACATTTCTGGTAATATTTGTTGTTTTACCGAGGCACAGCCTGCCAGAAACTAAACCGCAAACTGTATACAGATAGCTTCACTTTGTTTCCAGTTTGTTAAATACCAAATAAACATCTAAGTAGTCTTGTGTACAAAAAGCTGTCTCAGTGAGATATAATGAATACACACTAATAAATAATTCATTTATTTGACAAAACACCGTAATGTACAAAACTGCATGATCTGAAATCTTTTCATAACTGCTCAGTGGTTTTTTAAATTCAGTTGCAAAACATTTTAGTTCAGTAATTATTCTTAATGTGAAGATTATCAGCATTTAAAGAACAATTACACTGTCATCTCCTTGTTGGGGAAGATGAGAGCAAAGACGCTTCCTGCTCCCTCTTTCTGCTGAATCCACTCAGCACCGCTCATATTGAAAGACAAGCCAGGTACTTGACACTGAAAGTGGAAAGTTTCTCTGTGCTCATTAAAAATCTGCTTTTAAGGGCCTACAAAAATGATTTGTTACATCACAAACAGTTTGGAAGTCAACCCTGGTCCAGTATGTAACTTATACAACTGTGATGTAGAAACTTGAAGCCAACAGTGCACATCCACTGAGAATGGACTTTACAGTGAAGTAGCAGGAACACTTCTGTAATTAATAACTACATTTGCATATTCAGATTCTGTAATTTTTATTGAGGTAGAAAGAATAGATGTCTTTTTGATGTCGAAATATGTTAAAAAGAAACATCTGAGTAAGGGCCTTTTATTCATCCTGAGACAGTGAACACAATATACATTAAGCAAGGTATTTTTAATTCAACAATCACCATTAAAGTACAACAAATATTAATACTGGTAAATAATACATGTTATTTAAGTAAATGCTGCTGTGTTAACCTACCAGGATATCTCAAACATGCATTGGATTCATTGGTCTCTTATATATATGAGAGTCCTGGGTTCACTCATCAGTGTCATGGTAACTATCTCATCATGAGACATCTCTGAATCTCCCTCTTGATGACCCCAAACATCTCTGAGAAATCTCATGTTGCCATGGAGACATACTCAGCATCTCTATCCCTGCTATAGGACCCTTGCCACAGTAAACCCCCACCTCCATCCTTACACCACACACACACACAGTCATTGTGCGTTTCCTGGAGACAAATGGCCCATCGCTGCTGGTTTTTTTTCCTCCAACAGTGTTTGTCCTGAGAATGTTTACACATCAGCATCAACATTTGATGAAGGAGGCATGAAATAGTAATATGTTGATTTCACAACAACTTCCCCTTCAAACGGTGAGTCACACACAGCAGCTTGCCTTTGGTCGGCTTCATTTGCACTTGAGGGCCAATCTGTGCTTGTACCCACTCACACTGAGGAGGATTGTCTGTACACAACCTCAAAAACATTTCTCTTAAGGCCTGTTATTAATATATATATATATATATATATATATATATATATATATTCTGACTACATACAGCGAATAGACGGTGATCTTTTCAAACTAAGCATACAGGATATAAAGATTAGTTGAATCGTGTATGCTTTGTTTCAAAAGATCACCGTCTATTTGCTGTATTTCTGAAGCTTTTTTCTGTACTTGCAGTATAAAAATGGTTGCATTACTCAGCATTTTAGAAGGCTACAGCTTCAAAGGGAGCTCTGCAAACATCCAACTTTAAAGAACCAGATAGTCTCTGATTTCCATCCTGTAAATCTGCTCAAATTGTCAGGACATTATGTTTTCAATGGGAGAGCAAAGTCGAGTGTGCAGAACTTGCGGATGTCAGTGATTAAAGTGAGCTGCAGAGCACGGCACGCTCTAACACTGCGCTGTATGTGGGCTCTTTGAGACTGCAGATAAGAGGCAGGCAGCAGAGGCCGCCCTGCCAGAGGAGGAGGAGGAGGAGGAGGAGGAGGAGAGAGGTGATAAATGTCAACAGGGTGGGTGCACCAGTAGCCCCCAGTGACACGATAACCATGGCGACAAGGCCGATTGATGCCTATGTCCAGCTCTGTGGTGCAGCTCCCTACTTGGGTGACGCATGACCCTCGGCCGTGAGAACTGATGGTTATCACACCAGCATTGACAGGTTGTTTTTATTCGTCTGTGTGCAGGGTTTGATTTGTGTCTGGTGAACAGATCCTTTACTTAAGTAAAAGTAGCAATAAAAGATAGAAGAAGTAATTAAGAGTACAGCGGAGTATTCGCTAAATGTACCTCAAAGTAAATAATTGTTCTGCAGAAGAGGGCCCTGTTATTGATAAATTATATTATTATATATATTACATAGACATTTTACTGTTATAATTACTTTATATAATGTTACTTTACATAACATCAGGCCCCTTCAAAGGGTCTCAAGTATGGTTAATCTGAGGGGTCATGAGATGATTAAAAGAATAAAAATAAGGTTCAGCTACATACATTTGTATTTATTTTTTTAACTTTTCTCTAATTTTAGCTTTTTGGTGAAATATATGACAATTTTACCTCTTTGGACCCTGAACAATTATTGAAATTAAAATAGATATTGGTGGAACTGCTATCTTAATGACGTCTAAAACATGGCTGCAACAAGACATTGCTTTCTATAAGGGGCCATGAGCAATGCTTGGGAATCAGTGGTTCAATCGTTAACAATGTGTTGTATTTTATAACCTTATTATATGTGTTTTAATATAAAATGTGAATCTGAAAAGTTAAATAAATGTAGTGCAGTACAATGTTTTCCTGTGAAATGTAGTATAAAAGAAGCATAAAGTGGCATAAAATGGAAATGCTGCAATCTGTGTTCCTCTTGTGAGCTCAAGAACAAAGACAGAACATCAGCCTGAGATGGGAGCAGCTATGTCTGATACAATGACACAGTTTCAGGCCCAAACACACACACGCACACACACCCTCCAGTGCATCCTCCAGTTCACCACTGCACACTGCCCTTCCCTGGAGGCATTCTTCCAACCTCCAGCCGTCACATTGCATTACAGAGCACAGCTGTGCACTGAGCAACAGATGAACATGTACAGTTACCTACACTATGTATCTACGCTATGTATCCACACAGTGTACTGGCCTCAGGCGAGGAGGCAGCAGTGGAGCCTGGACCCATGATCTCTGTGACTCTCTCTGCAGACAATCCTGGTGGGAGACAGCGGTGTGGGCAAGACCTCTCTGCTGGTCCAGTACGACCAGGGCAAGTTCCTCCCAGGGTCCTTCACTGCCACCGTAGGCATTGGTTTCACAGTGAGTTCCACACCTTCTGTCCTCCACACAACCTCCTCCCACCCTGAATTTGTTTGGCATCACTCATTTCTTAATTTCTCTCTTGCTCAACCCTTCCCTCCCATGTATTTCCTCTCTCCTCCCCCCCGGTTCTGCTGTTGACTTCACACCCGAGTGTTGAGAAGGACATGTCACTGCGATGGGCTGTTTGTACTGAAGTGGTGACATGACGGCGGAGCAAATCCTCTCTGTTTAAGTGCAGCATGGATCAGTGGTGTTCTCCACTGTGGGATGTAGAATCTTCTCATTGCATTCATTACGATCCGTAACACTGTGCGTCGGGGGGGAGGGTTGTTTGCATTATTGTGGCTAATGATGCCACTGCTATGATTAAATTACTGTGAAGAGAGCACTACTAATGAACGCCATGGCAGCAGGGTGTTTGCTGCTGGATGTTTGTAACAAAGCTGTCTTAAATCAGAGTGACTTTATGCTTTCTGACATGTTGGGGGGGGTGGTGTTGTGTGACTCTGTGTGGCAAGAGGAGACGAGCAGGAACCATGTATGGCTCATTTAGTGTATGATTTTTCAGCTGTGGCAGCGATAACGTTGGCTTTGTGTCATTGCCATTAGAGCAGCATAGAGGAGGCAGAGATGTGTGAGGAAAGTATAAAATTGGCTTTGCCATTTCACATCAGCATACGTTTGTTGTAGTGTATGATTCAAGGCTCAGAAACCCTGCAGGAAAAACGTGCCACAGAAACAAAATAAGTCACTCTGCTGCATACGTCCGCTGGATTTAAAGTCAAGGGTGAGACAGTGGCTGCAAATGTAATAATACACTGCTTTAAATGCACAGAAGGTAGAAATGTTGTTGAAAACGTGGCTCAGTCAGTTGGAAGAAGTTTTCACCTTTTACATTTAAGCCTCTTTTAGAGACGCTGCTTTAATAGAAACTACCATCAATAACAAAGCAGTGAGTTCCAGGAAAATAGATTTATTATATAATATTATTATATTTGAAGATTTCTTTTTGACCCCATTCAGAATTAAATCATTCAACCACTCACTCAGCTCCATCTGCAAATGTTATATCATTATGTTCATGTTAGAGGGCTGAGATGTTGCCTGCAGCTGCCCATTACGCAGAGCGATGAGTTCATATGTTTAAAGAAGAGATTACATGTCAGTTATTATATAACATAAATGATCTCTGACCGTGTGCCATTAGTCCTGTCGCCACATAGAGGAGTGGAGACGCGCTTCCTCTTGACTTGAACACTGGGGGGAGACAAACACCGCAGGAAAAGAGTTATCTCCAGACCTGAGTGAGAAATAGAGTCTCAATGAAACCATCTTAGACATGTATGACATGCTAATTAAAGGAAGGGATTGGTGATATTTATGGGATCATGTGTTCTTGACGAAGAGAGATTTGGATAGTTGCTTAGTTTCCTGCTGCGAAGAGGGGTCGCTAAAGGGGGAAAAAATGGGTTGATGAAGAATCTATAAAAGCAACAAAAGTGAGGCACTTCTTTATGATAATATAAGATGGTCTTGGCAGCATTTTTCTGACATATTCTTAAAGGAGTCATGTTTGGTGAGGAAGGTTTCTGGACAAGGTCCGCGCTGAGATGCGCCCTTTTACGCACATTCGCCCCCTTTGAAGAACAGTCAAATTAACCTAATATACTCAAAGTGTATTTAAACTAATAGCTCACAATTCAGCCCTCTTTCCTCCTCTCCGAGCTCTTGACACTTTGCTCTGACCCTCTCAGAGATCGAGCACCACCTGTGGCGGGTGAGTCAGCCACCGGCGCAGACCGACCCCCGCAGCTGGTTTGGGGACATTGTCAGCCTGAAAGACACACCGACCGTTTCACTGGTGACAGAATACAGTGTTTGTCGGAGCTGTCGACGTCCTCACACACTCAGTTAATCATCTGCCCACGCCAGGAATCTCTGCTCTGCAGAATCAGAGAAATGTTTCCGCCTGTTTGTCATCGCCGCTTTCCTGACTGGTCCGCGTAGACGCCGGTGCGTCGCAGCCGCTGCCGATTGTTTTTCAAGTTTTCATCGTCGCTTCCGTCTTTTGACAGTGCGATATTAAGGTGTGATTTTTTTCCCCGAGAAGCGCCTGGTGATCGTTTTGTGGCCACACGCAGTAATGCGAGCAGAGGGGCTGGAGGCTGGCGGAGAGCGGGACTGAGCGGCGGAGATCTCAAGACACCGTGCGCGTCTTTCTTGGACACATCTCGGAGATAACTGTGGTTTGGCTTTCCGAGCCTGCGCTCCTTTTTTTTCCTTGGCATTGCGATGTCTACGAGAAAGACATCGTTGACGGACAAGCAGACTAAAAACGGAACGTCAAAATATGTGTTGGAGAGATGCGCTTCTGTTAACGAGTATTATGATATTGCCTTCAAGGTGTGTATTTCCGTCTTGTCATTTGTGCTTGTTTTTTTTTTTTCTTTCTTTCTTTGTGGTACTGCTGGTGGAACAGGTGTCTACGTTTTAATGTGGGTTTGACACAGAAGCAGCTGGGTGTACCTGCAGCAACAACATGAATATCGACTCCTCAGTTCTTCACAATGTGCATAATCTTAAGTGAAAAGCATTAACCATCAGCTGCTTTATGCTTTGTGCATTCTCCTGGTTAAACAGGCCATGTTCACTGTTTGCACACAGACGACAGAGCAGACACAAAGTCATCGACCTGATGCTTTCATTTGTATTACTAAGAAGTCCCTCTGAGCCTGTAAATCTCCCGAGGTTGCTTTGTCCGCCCTTTCTGATATGCACATATTTGCTGAGGGTGTACTTGTTGCTCCTTGCAATCACTCCCATTAAATATTTATAAAAGCTGCACAGACACACCTGTGACTGTTTTACAAAGACCCACAGACAAAAGGAGAAGTTAAATTCAAGTTTAATTACATTACTATCTTGTAGGCTGTGTGTTTGTGCAGCTATGAGTCACTGTGGGAACATATAAGGTTTGCCTCACATGCTGCTGGATGGGTTGTGTAATTGCACATCCTGTTGTTGTAATTATATTGATTAGTTTTGGAGAATGATGCACAGTGAAAAAGGATGAGAGTAAAATGACAGAGTTGGCTCAAACATCTTGGATCCCCATCTCCAGTATTGGCAGAGCGTCACATGTTGGTGGCAGCTCAGTCAACAGCGGACACAACACTATCTGTAGTGCACTGTACTTGTGCTTGCCGTGTAATGTTAACCAGCTGACACATTAACTTAATAAGACATTGCACAATCTCATCATGATCCCAGTTGTGAAATATTCACTCGATTGCAAAATAATTTATGCAACATGTCCCTCAGCTTTCATTTCCTCTGCAAGGGGATTGTCATTCTTATCCTGCTATCATGTAAAGGCTGTCAGTAACCTGTTGTTCCTCTTCTCTGGTGGTGGGTTTCGCTCTAGGTGATGCTGCTGGGAGACTCGTCCGTGGGGAAGACGTGCGTCTTGGTGCGCTTTAAAGACGGGGCATTTCTGGGAGGCAACTTTATAGCCACCGTTGGAATAGACTTTAGGGTGAGATAGATGCTGTCGAACAGCCCTGGACTCACAGAATGACTCATAATGTCCTCATTATTTCTGTGTGAGCCATTAATGGTTTGTCATTTGTGTTTTATTATTGTTACTCTTATGAGAAAATGTTTAGCATCTGAAAAACAACCTAATGGTATTAACAAAGCAACAAGAGATCCACTTGTTAGAGTGTCATCACTCCAATTATCACCTTGTTTCCACGCAGAACACTTCATCATTCTGCGATGATAGCACCAAATGTACAAATCCTCTCACCAATCAGTCAAGTTCACAGACCACTTGTGCTGCGAGGCGCTGTGGATGGATTCATAAATGTCTTGGCAGATGCCTGCCCACGTCCCTGTCTCCTGGAAAAAAAGATTGGCTGCAGCTCAGCGCGGTCCTAGAGGAGTCACACTGCTGACAGACGAGCTCCTACCTAGTCACATAACCCTCATGCACACACACACACACACACACACACACACACACACACAGACCCACGCAGTGACTGTCGTTGAATTTGGAGCAGATTTCTACTGTATATCTTCCTCTGCTGGGATGAAAATAGGCTGTTTTGTCCCCCCCCCCCCATTTCCCTCCAATCAAGGCAAAACACTCACACTAATGGGAAGTCAAGTAGGGGTGATTTGAGGAGGAAACTGTGTTGCATTAGCCAGAGTGATGTATTGTCTTCTATGGATGGCGGTGTAGACCTTAAAGAGCATAATGGATGTCAGACAGACAGAGCTATATGGACGATGCCATGACCATTTCATCTCGCACCCACTGAGGCGCTGCAGCCAGTATCCATTCATAAAATGCATTAAAAAGGGAGCTGACACTGGTTTACACTCGAAAAACATTGCTATTCATTCAGAAGATTGGCTGTTAATGTAAGCAATTACCTTTTGTTTTCCTGCTTGTGTTTATGAAAAGGGGCAAAGCCGCTTAGAAACAGAGTCGTGTGATAGAAACAGTTGAGTCAATATGCTGAGGTTGTCCTCTGTGCATGGATAGGCAGGCAGGCTGTTGTGGCAGCTTGTAACATGGCCGGTCTATTTTCGGCATGCTTCCTTGTAGCAGTTACTCAGCATGCAGGCTCCTCTCACGTCATAATTGGGGGGGAAAATGGAAACCCATGGCAACTAATGCAGGGGTTGAACCATGTCCATTCTGCCAAGGCAGAGGATTCAGCAGGTGGCAGCTTTAGCTGCCAGTGACGGCTTTGCAGACATTGCAGAGGTTTCTTTTGTTACTGTGTAGCTTTTTCTGCATGTCTTTGGGTGCATTTCGTGTGCTTTTGTGCGTTCACAGGAAAGGCAGGGACTGTTTGTGATGACCTGTCACTGATATGAAGTTATGAAGTGATTGAGGAAGTGCTGCAGAACATTTACTTGTCACACTTCCGTCATCTCAGCCTCTCTCTTTGGTGGTTTTTGCTGTGCAAGGTTGAAACAGGGTTGTTATCTGGCTCTTAAAATACCCGTTTAACCCCATGAAACAGGCTGTGGTAGAACCTGTTTTTGTTGTTGCATGCTGAAGAATGCAAGTTGAAATGCTGCATGTTACCGAAACCTCTATTTCCACTTCACTCTTAATTCCCTCAGGATTTTTGTTTTGCTAGATTTCCCCTTTCAACACATTCATCAGTCACAACATTTAGTCTGTTTTAGGTGGGGTGCCTAAACTATTTTAGGCCAATCTTTTCTCTACAGGAAATCAGAGGGCACCCCTACGGGGCTGCAGGAAATTAACGGGGGAGTCAGTTGTTATGCTGCCAGTCGTCTTTCTCACTGTTGTGTAATTAAGTCTAATCCCAGGACCTTGTTGTGTGGGTGTTGCAAATTACTTTCTCTGCCAGCATTCAAAGCCACTTTTAGTTGTCTTGTTTCTTTTGCCACATGCTGAGTCTCTGAGCTTTTTTAGTCTGCCGCGATGTTCGTCATTCATCTCTGTGCAGCTTTCACAGCACTTCAGTCTCTAAAGCATATGGTGGATTTTCAGTCTCTCACAGCTCTTCTCGTTTCTGCAGAACAAAGTGGTGGATGTTGACAACCTGAAAGTCAAACTCCAGGTGAGAACCTCCACACCTGTGTCTACATTTCACCTCACCAAAAGACAAATCATCTCATCCTTTTGGCTGCCTTTGACCTATATATCGACATGAACTCATCTGGTAGATTATGTAGAATCAAAAATAATCTGAAAAGTAATTTACAAATAATAGTTGACCTAAATATGCTTTGCACTTGTTTGACTGTCATTGTTTGTGCTGCCAATCCAATCAAAGTGCCTGATATTGTGTTAGTGTAAGGGACTCTGGAGGGTTATATGCCAGCAGCAAGCTGTTAATCTAAGGCACATCCGTCTATCATCATAACCTGTTCGTTCAACACCGAGTGGGAGGTGTCAAAATTAGATTCCCCTGCTAGCTCGAGTAAATCCATGGCATTTTTTTTCTTGCACACGATAAAATCATTAATTCAAAAATACTCCACCACTGCCATGAGTCTATGCTTTACAGAGGCTGAGAACATTAGCTGCCTATGGAAAAGCTGAAGTTGAGAGAAAAGGGTTAAAGTTTTCAGGCTGGCTGGATAAACAGTGTAACAGATGGATAGGGTGTAATAAGGTCATTTTATGTCTCTTTAAATACATTATTTTACAAAAACTACAATCTGCTTTTGGAAAAACCGGAAATGTGTTCTTATAAACAATTTTTAAAAAAGATATATAATATAACTTATTAATTTATGATTGAATACATTTAAATATGCAATTTAAAAGAAGCTTTACCGCAGCTAATCCTTAACTCCACAAAGCTGAGATGGCATTTATTGCTACTTTGCAATGCTGGGCTAGTTAGCATGGATGCACGGATCAGCATTTATTGACTTATTTAAGAGAAACAAAATAAACATCAGATTTTATGTATTTCAATTAGAGGAAACAAAAAGGTATTTTAAAAGAAACATCTAATTTAAATTGTAGTAAGTAATTAATGTGGGATAAAAACTAAATGACCTTTGTTCATCAAAACAGCTTGGTTGTAATTTTAAAAAAAGGCTAGCTCTTTGATAGTTTGGATTCTGTTTTTTCTGTTGAAAAAAACAAAAACAAATGTCAACAAGTCAGATTCCTGTGTTAAGTAAGTTTTGAGTAAGTTACTGCAATTTGGCTTTGTGAGGCAATATAATGACGAGTTTCTGTATTTGTTGTTGTAGGATGATCATTTTTCCCACTCCACTAAGCTAGGCCTAACTTTAAGCTGAATGTACTGTTTTTATCCTCTATGGATAGATTTAGCTGCTACCTTATGTACATTTACAATACCAAGATATTACCTGAAAAACATGTTGTTGTTTGAAATCTGACTCTCTTGCTCTGACTCGTTTTTAGCTGTTTTTACCAAATATATAGTTACTGCATTTTGGCAGTATAATGGTATGTTTCTGCTTTAGTCTCTCTCTGTGGAGGATTTTCTATGAGGATTGTTATCCCATGTTAGCTGCTGTGTAATTATGTGGTTTGATACGCAGATCTGGGATACAGCCGGCCAAGAGAGATTCCGCAGCGTAACTCACGCCTACTACAGAGATGCCCAGGGTAACCTTTGCTTTTTATGTTGCACTTCCTCATGGTCGGTGTGTGTTGAGTGTGTGGGAAGGGGGAGTGTAGGTAACCTGGCTGAGATCTGTACTTTTTATTAGTGTACATAGAAAGTGTGTGTGTAGGTGTTGATGTGTGTTACGTAAGACGGTGTGCAGATCACAATAAAGGGACAACCAAGCTGCTCTTCTGTTTCCTAACAGCGTTACTTCTGCTATATGATATCACCAGCAAGCCATCGTTTGACAATATCAGGGTAAGACTCTCTCAAATTACACTTCCCTCCCACTTTGTCTCTCTCTCTCTCTTTCTACCTCCCACTTTCACTATCTCTCTCTCTTTCTCTTCATTTTCTCATCCTAAAGTCTCTCAAGCTGAACGATTCACTCTTTCTATTTACATGCAAAGTACGACGAGGTCCTCCAACATTTTCTCACAGCCCTCTTTGGAAATGACATGATGTTATCGTTCGCTTCACTGCACAGTTTTCAGTTTCTGTAATGAAAAGCAATAAAAGTGTTCAAGGATAAGAGTGACTCAGTCTCGCCATGATTTATTGGAGGATGGTAATAATAAACAACTCAGGAGAAAATGCAGTCTTTAAGTGGTGGAATTTGTTTTGTTTATACACCAATCTCTCTTTGTGTCCCCCCCCCTTTCTGTATCTGTCTGTCTTTTGTACTTTTAAAGGCCTGGCTGACTGAAATACACGAGTATGCCCAGAAGGATGTGGTCATCATGTTGCTCGGCAACAAGGTGAGCAAAGCTTCCTTTTTGCATTACATAAAAAGATCAGGAGGATAACTGGTCCCTTAGCACAATTTTAACACACTTTTATCACACCCAGACAGACATGTGAATGCTCAGAAGCCAGAAAATGCCTCCAGCGTGCAACACATGCAAGAATGCAAACTCTCGCTCGCTTATTTCAACATTAACAAGCGAAACGCCGTCTTAATTGTGCTTGCGTGTCTTCGTTGATTTATGTTGTTAATGGGCACTCTTGAAAAGAATGTGTCGGTGAAAAGAATTTCCCTGCAGTGAAAATAAAGTCCACATAAACACATTCATTTGTTACCCATCACCCAATGTTATTTGATCATTATGACTTGGAAGCATACACTCAAAACATGCCACAAAACTCACTAATCACCCGCTTCAAGCTTCCCTTGCATGAAACCATTTCCACAAACCACAAGCCATCTCCACACTGCTGCTGGGGAGGAAAAATGTAATGTCTCATTGCGACCAGCAGTCATTACTACTATATCTAAAAGCTCCCTCTGGTGGCGCAGAGAGGACTCACCCTTCTCCAGGGTCATAGATGTCACACAGCAGCAGCTCAGATCATTTGCTGTGAGAGCACTGCCGGCATTATTCTGTGGGAGTGCTGCTCTTCTGCTAGAGGTGGAGCTCCTGACATTTCATCAGTCTGAGGGAGCTCTGGCTCAGCAGCTGGCGGCGCGGCTGCCAGATAAGATAATGTGCGGGCTGACATGACGGTGCATCACTCTAGCTAATGGCATGGTGAATCTGTGACCCTTCACCTCTGTTATGATGACTTGTTTTCCCTGCTGTCTTATAGTCAGACGTGGCTGCAGAGAGGGTCGTGAAGAAGGAGGACGGAGAGAAGCTGGCGAAGGTAATGTGTAACGGCTCCATCTGGTCACATTCTCAACAACAGACACCCAGCCACTTGCTCTTCTAATGTGTTTCCATCTTAGGAATATGGTGTACCATTTATGGAGACCAGTGCGAAGACAGGACTCAATGTGGAGCTGGCCTTTCTCGCTATAGCAAAGTAAGTCTTACTTAAAGCTGCATTAATCAATAGTTTTATAGTAGCAATGGATGAAAGAACTATGTGTTATGTAAAAGGAGTAGCTCAGAGAAACTTTACTGCTTTGGTTCACACTCACTGCTCTCGCCAGCTCATCCTTTCCAGCATCAGCAGGCAGCTATTTTCCCTGAATAAGCATGGCAGACAGTCAAAGTTAGCTGGTGAACATAGTGGAGCGTTTAGCAGCCTATAAAGGGCCAGATATTTCCCTCAGGATTTGGTAAAATAGAGCTAAAAGAAGAGAGAATATTGGACACGACTCCAAATGAATGATAATGGTGCTGCTGGATGTGTAAATAGGCAACTGTGTGCTCGCAAGTTACAGTAATAGGGTGATAATATGTCAGTTTTGTGTTTGCAGCTTGTAAAATAATTAATTAAAACCGGTTTAAGTGAGGTATTGATTAATATTTCTTACTGTATTTTTCCCTGCCATTATTACTTTAATGAAGATATAGAAAATCAGATTTTCTTGTGCGTCACCAATCTCTGTATACATACTTTTGTGGGGGGATTTTGGTCTGCAGCTGTTTGTGGTGGTTTGAGAAAGGGGCAATTAAGAGATGCTTAATGCTGCACTATACAGTGATATTTCAGTTTTGTGACAACAGCTCTTCTGTGTCAACATGCCTGCATAGAGGCCTGATGTAACTCACCTTTGGTGTTGGCCAACATCAGTTCCTGATATATAGCCTAATATATCTATAATGCTCTTGTGGCTGAATGGGAGCAAAGTCCTGCAGCCAGGTTCTGAAACCTGGTGGAAATCCTTTTTAGAAGAGAATAGGCTGTTATAGCAGAATATTAATGGTCAAAGTTTTAGAATAAGAAGTTTTACAATCACAGCTCTAATGCCTGGGTGTCCACATAGTGACACTGCTACATAGTGTATTTCATTACTGCGTACAAAACATCTTCATGTCTTCACACTGCATGATGTATTCTTTTATAAATGTAACCAGTTGAAAATAACAACAACAGTAGAGTCCCTGAAGGATGTAGGTTTTTATAATCAGTCTTTATTCTGAGCTCTGAATCGAGACATTCGTGTTTTGGTTGCATGATGCGAGAGGTGGAAAGTCAGCAGAGCAGACCTTTCTCTACACCCCGCCACCCACATAAATGAGAGAAAATGACTAAGAATAATGAAAATTAACAGCCAAAAAAAGAAAACAAATTTTTGCTCTTGCACTTGGGGATAATACAAAGAAGTTATTTGTACTTTTCTCATTTCTAAAATAATCTATAAGTGATCCCCAAAACAAATATTTAACGCTTCAACAGCCACATCTCCTTTTAGAATAGTCCTCTGCAGTGAGAAAATGAATGTTGCTACAAATTGTACTTGTGAAAGTGCACCTTTAAGTAGAAATGCTAAAGGAGTGGAAAAAGGTGTGTGTGTTCTGGAGTAATAAACACTGAGGTTCCACATAAAGGGTTTGTATTCTAATCTGTTTCGTGCATACATGCATATTTTTATACTTTTCTCTGACTTGGCATTGACGCTCACATGCCTCACTCTGATTCCTGCAACTAATACAGTCTAATGGTGTTGAGCTAATTTGTTGTTTGTTCCTCTTGACTCGTTATAATGGGATTGTGCATGTTCGAGGCTCCCTGTGGATCTCAAACATTAGCTGTGTAATTTCTGTTTTTGACTGACTTCCTCGTGCGCACACCTTTCTTACTGAACGGCAAGAAATATAAAAAGGATTGTTATTTAGTCTGAAAAGGACTGTTTGCAAGGCATGTTTCCAGAGCTGTTGATGAAAATGTAGGGGATTTGCTATCTTCGTGAGATGGGTATTCTAAGTGCAAGTTAGATTAAATGATTCATGCCAGAGGCCTTTTGATTAAATCTCAGTAAAGAAAGATGTTTCTCTCCCTCGCTCGATTGCTCGTGCTCTTTTTTATTTCTCTTCCTTTCTCATTTTCTTGATTTGCTCACCCTGTCTGTGCTGCATCCCACACATCCACCCCCTCTGTATCTAACTTCCTATATCTTTCTCTCCATCAGGGAGCTGAAGCACAGAGCGACACAGCAGCCCAATGATCCCAAGTTCCAGATACACGACTACATCGAGTCTCAGAAGCAGAAGTCTGGCTGCTGTAGCCTCGTGTAGCGCATCCTGATCACCAGGCAGAGTGAGACACACAGGGAGGGAGAGAGAGAGAGAGAGAGGGAGAGAGGGAGAGAGGGAGAGAGGGAGAGGGGGAGAGGGAGGGCGGTAAAAATGTCTGCTCTCTTACAAAAAGCCAATCCCAGCACCAAACCTGAGAAGCGGACGCCCTTGTCTTCTCCACTGAGCTTATAACTGAATGGAATCTGGATTGGTCGCCATCCCTTATCTGAAATGTGAATTTAAATCTCTTTATGTCATGCGTAGAAATGTTTGTGGTCTTTGTGGTGACAGTTGTATCAAACTACAAGTCAGGAGTTACAATCTGAAATGCTATATCCATCTGCAGGGACAGAAATACACACATTTATCAATCCACTCTGCATATCTGCGAACTTATGGAGTGTAGGGGGTCCGACCGCGTGGCTACATAGTGTGTGACAAAGGGGGTCAAGGGACACAAGAGACACTGACTGACCACCGCTCACGGGTAGCATGGATTGCGTAGTGATGAGAAGGCCCAGTTCTTTTAAACCTGCCATTAGCGAACCGACTCATGAACGACTCTTTGGTTCTGTATTTTTGGATACCCATCCCGTAGCTCTAGCTTTGAGATGTGTACAAGCAGCAAGTCCGCTACATTCCACAAGCTCTCTTAGCTTTTTAGTCTAATAAATAAACAGTGCCACAATCATACAAAAACAATATAACATATATAATATATATAAGCAATATAGCCATTATGAATGTACCTTTTGCCAATATTTCTTTGGCTCAGTGGGTTTGTACTGTGCTACTGGTTTAGCTCGCTGAGAAGCAGCTCTCACTCGTTCTGTGGTTTGTAGGAAGTTCTACACACACCCCTTGAGTCCAAAGTTAACCGAAAGTTTAGCTGAGCCAAAATTTAACTTCTGGAAACCTGGCTCTTATGCACAACTGCGCATGCACCACACAGAAGCGGGAATCGCTTGCGAATCGGGTTAACTCGTTCCTCTTTAAGAATCGTTGAAAAAGAACAATATGTTCACTCTGGTATTCACTCCACAGCCCTGAGGAGATACTGTAAGACTCTCTGTGTCCCTGCTGCAAAGACGGAGTGTGCTGATACTTTACCAGTCACCAGACGCACGTTTAGGGCCCTTTGACAGAGTCACTGTGCAGATAGGTGTTGTAGCTCGGCTAGTGGCCCTACTATGACACCCTTTGGTCCTAATGAAGCTGCTTGCGGTTAACTTTACTATTCATCACCCATAAATATGTTGTTAACTCTGAATACAGCACAGTTATCGGCAGGCCCATGTGTTGTGTTTACTGCTACTGAGGAGACATAAATACAGTTGAATCAAACTTTCAAATCCACACATAAAAGCAAATTTTGAGCTGAAAAGGCAGTTTTTATACACAATATGTGTCTGTTTTAACATCATATGCCAACAAGAATCTATGTGATTATTTGTGGAGTGCATAAAAATAATTTATTTTAGGCAGGACACTGCTTGACTTCATGTTTGTAACAGTTAGCATAACCTTGACCCAGCGGCAGTAGTGACACTGAAAGGGAAAGTTTGGCCCTATAGTCCCTGAACTGTCGCCTTTTTCATCTCTCTGGAGTTTGCAGGCCTGACTCCTGATAAATGACAGTTTTATATGAACAATCAATACTACTGTTGATGTGGATATAGCATTTTGCCATGCAGCTCTTAGTTTGTTTCATCCCAGTTTTACCAGGCTGTGAACTGAATCCCTCTTGGCCTTACAGTCTTTATCATTATTCTTTGATAATTCAGTGTGTTTGAGAAGTGGACTTAAGTGTCACAGTCAGATTGTAGCTAAAATGATCCCGTCTGTTCACATCTGTACTGCTGTTAGAATAAAGCCAACATTTTCAGGGCGCTCGCCCACTGTGTCTGTCTGTACATTCAATTCAGGGCCAGTGAAACGTACATTACATTACAGTCAAAGTACTGTACATTGTTTTCTTTTTCTTTGGTTATGGATTCCCCGGCATGCAATCTGCCTTTTACCAGTAACACACAGAGATGCACACAGCACCCGCAGATATTGTTGTGTCTCCTTTAACGATGGATGTTGTTGTCTAGACTGTACCGAAGCTGTATTTGTTCATGCACCGCATCGTGTAACTCGTTTATTTGTACAATGTTCATTATGAATGTTTGCTTGTCAAACTTGCTCAATGTCACATTTGTCCCTCTTCTGAGGCGTCACGGTGATCACAAAGTGCCATGAAAGTGCTTTGTTATCATATTATATATAAAAAAATATATTTTGTAATGTATGTAGTGTTGTTTTATTGAAGTCAGTCTTGTCTGTGTGTCTTGTGTGTGTATGTGTGTGTGTGTGTGTGTGTGTGTGTGTGTGTGTGTGTGTGTGTGTGTGTGTTGGGGTTTTTGGAGGAATGGGGTGGGAGCCACAGGGGAGTGACAGGATGTGCTGAGGTTAATGAGCCACTGTGTGGCAGCAGCTACCCTGTTTATTCTGTAGTGCTGCACTAGAAACAAGTGGTGTTTAATCAATTAGAGAGGCATAACACACACACACACACACACACACACATTAATACTGTATTTTAGGGTTCATTTAATGCCTTTATAGAGGTACACTGTTTTTATTAACGTGGTTGCATGAGGTTGTGTTCATGTGTTAGGTAAAGTTAGTGGACATTATATACACACTGTTCTGGGCTGTACACCTGAATGCACCTCCTCTCCCACTCACATCTGTGAGTCACACTGCAGACACATTAACAGGAGCAGGAGCATTAAGAAAAAAATGCATTATTTGTATGATTCCCTGTTAACTAACAGCTGAATTTCCCTTCCCTACATACTGCAGTTATATAAGCACTGATGCTCTAGTAGCTTTAAATTTCCAGTTTGGTTTCCTTTGTCCTCTTATCAGTTCTGGAAGCATTTTCAGCTGCAAAAGTAAAATCCTCCCCCAGGTTTTAGTTCAGAAGCTTCCTACCAGGCTCTATTTTTACTATTTTATGTCACTCATATCTCTGAATGGCCAGAGGGATAAGCTGGCTCCAAAAGACAGAAGAGTTTAGAAAGGATGTTGATCATTATGGTTAAATTAATCTTTAATTAGGGTTCTGCCTCATTTGCGCATATTTATTAGGCTGTAACTAATTCTTGTTTGGCTATTGGAACTAACACTCAACCCCCTTATTATAATAACAGCTGTATACAAATCAAATGATTTTAAGTGCTAAGGTCAAAACATAATCACAGACAGAGGCTCTGTATCACTCTGGCCAAATTACACAGCTATACAGACAGTAATAGAGGGATAGATGGGTACATTATTCATCCCTATAATTCCTGCCAGTCAGCAGCACTGAACAGCAGGAATGATAGAGAATACATTTGCACTGTATGAGAAAAATGAGTGTACTGCAGTGAAGGAAATGGACAGACTGTAGGAGTATAAAGGTGTGAAAAATAAAGTGAGCAAAAGTTTTCTTAAATTAAAAAGTGCCAAAAGTGAGATATATCCTGTGTCGGCAAAACGTGCACATAAAAATTATAGTAATATACTTGAAGAATACAAAAACTCTATATTATAAGTCAAAACAAGGGAAAAGGGGGATAGATAAATATACTTAAATAAAGATACTTTTATACGTTTTCAAACTGTCCAGAGGACTACCGGCTTAGGGAACCGACCAGCACTCAACAACCCAAACACTATCTATGTTTCTCCTCATCATCGTGTATTTTTCCTGGACAGCCTCGGTTTTGTGTTTACTCCCTCCATTCCCCTACTCTGCATGAGCCAGCCAGCTGGGCTGTTCCGTGAACGCACCTCCCTCTTCCTGCGTGGCTTTCTGTCGCGCACTGAAAGGAGCGACTGCTGCGTGAGTGCGGTCAGCCTGAAGTCTCAGTCCCCGGGTCAGGACCCCTCACTGAAAGCCGCAGGATTTTACAGCAAGTGTGTGTGAGGACACCAAATCAGACCACCTTGACTCGTCTGTGGAAGTGGACCAGAGAGTGGGACAAACACCAGCACCGTTTCCCACGGACTAATCTCCCCAAGAGGGCGGGGGTCGGGTGTTATTTTGTGTTTCAAAGGGGACCACTCATTCACACAAACACACACACACACACACACACACACACACACACACACACACACACATACACACACACACAAACACACACACACACACACACACACACACACACACACAGCAGCAGCATCCTGAGCAGGACTTCTAGTCATTTACACTTAAGCCCAGCAACAGGTTGAGGCTCAGCAGCAGCAGTGTGAGGGCGACTGAAGCCTACCATGCCGAGTAAAAGCCAGTATCTGCGCCCCCGGCTGTGCACGCTGGAGAAGGGGGACAACGGCTACGGTTTCCACCTCCACGGGGAGAAAGGTAAGACGGGGCAGTTCATCCGGTTAGTGGAGCCCGACAGCCCGGCTGAAACCTCGGGGCTCCGCGCGGGAGACCGGCTGGTGTTTGTGAACGGGGAGGACGTGGAGAACGAGAGCCACCAGCAGGTCGTGTCCCGGATACGAGCCACCGCGGGCCGGCTGGAGCTCATAGTGGTGGACCCGGACACGGAGCAGCTGCTGAAGAAACACGGCATGAAGTGTCTGCAGGAGTATGTCACCGACGGTGTCCCGGTACCCTTCGACGAGGAGGAGGAGGAGGAGGAAGAGGAGGTGGTGGTGGAGGTGGAAGAAGAGGAGAAGGAGAAGGAGGTGGTGGTGGTGGTGGTGGAGCAGAAGGATGAGGAGGTAGACAAGAAGGATAACGGAGGTGAAAGGCACGCCAAGAGGGAGGAGGTGGAGGAGGAGCAGGAGGGGACACCCCGGGAGTCCACGCCGCTCCCGGAGAGCAACGGAGGGATCCACGGGCACGTCGAGAAAAAGCTGAGCATCAACTCTGAGAAGGTGAGTCAAAGTTATGTAAGTGGAGGTAAAAGAGTTTCTGCACCGTGTCACCTAAATGACATTAAACCCACTGAATGCATTATTTGGGGGGGGGTGTTCCCTACAGAGAATAAGTGCTCTATAATATGGCATAACATGGGCAGCCCACGGGCTCCTGGCTGCAGGGCTGCCAGGATGTGGGCAGGCTCAGCTGGCGGGACATTTACTGTGGGTGAGAGGACAAACAACCTGGGTCAGCTCTGGGATCAAGGAAACATGGACCCCCCCCCCACTTTGTATCAGTGTCAGTAAACCTCTTAAACTGTTGCTCAAGTCTCAAATCACTGATTGTGAGACAGTGTCTGAGACAGAAACCCAGTCTTCTGTTATTACCCAGATGCCACATGGTTAAGCATCAGCAGCAATGACAGGCTGCAGCTCCACACCAAAGCAAGCACAGGGAAAACACTCTGAAAAGACATGGTGCTGTGTCTTTGCGTTGTATAATAGAACATAACAAATATCTGACATTGCTGAACCCTCCACAACAAACAACAGGAAATAGTTAGTGTCTTTATTTTTCTTCAATTTCCACAAAATGAGTCCCACTAAATGAATTTTTTCAACCTTTGATCTTTGTCTGTAACACATTATGGGTGGATTCTCACTCCGCTGTGGCCACTTGTTGCTGTGTCTGCCCTTATTTTCTCCTGCCATGCTGTCTGTCGGTCTGTCTGTGTCTGTCTGTGTGCGTGGCTGTGAGTTCAGGACCAGGGTTCATTAAAAAGCACTTGAGGAGAAGAGGGTCCCTCCAGTCTGGAACATCTGTGTCCCTCACTGCATCCTGGATGTTTACCCCCGAGGCTGTTTCTGTCCAGCTCTTCTCCTCGGCACTTCACTGTAGGTGGGAGAGAGGTGGGAAGAAGGGCTGCAGTGTGTAGAGCGAGCAGCGATCAGGAACAAAAGACACAGAGAAGACCCTGCTGTGGTCTTTTCTGTCTAATATAAACACATCATCGAGTGCATCTCATTTTCCAGCCCATGTGATAGGCAGATGGTCGTCGTTCTGGCATCTGTTTGGTTTGTTGGAGGCAAAATTGAGTAATAATGACATTGTTGTCCATCATTTTCTACATGATAACAACGGTTGGATCATAAACAAGCATACTGACTGTGCTGCTGTTCAGTGTGTGTTTATGAAGATTCCTGAAGCTGACGGGAGGTCGGAAATGTGGGAAAGGTGGTGACAGGAGTGATGGTGAGGAGTCAAGTTGGGACATATGTTGAAGATGAATCTAGATATTGCCTGGCATTGGTGGCATAGCTTGAATGTTTAGTTCCAATGTATTATTTTGACATTTTGGAAAATATTTGCTTTCTTCTTGAGAGTTTCATGAGATTGATTGATGCCACTCTACAGTTAATATAAGACTGTTTGCAGCGGGTTAGCTTAGAATAGCACAAAGAATGGATATAGAGAAAACAGTCCAGCACATAGTCCTCTGTAAGACCGTGATGTGTTGTTTGAACTCTTTGGTTTTGCTACAAATCAAGCAAGTGACATATAACATGTTAATAAATTAGCTTTAGAGGTGCTGGTTGTAGCTTCATAATTACAGACATGAGAGTTGTATCAATGTCCTCCTCATATATATGTTAGCAAAAATACTTTATGGTTATGTTTTAGGTATTTAAAAGAGTTTTTTCTTCCTCACAAGGTCCACCGCTGGGTTATGTTGTTTGTCTTTGGAATATACAGCGATTGTTCCCATGTTTACTCTCGATACTCTCCACAGATGGCCTAATGGAGCTGGTGCAGTACAATTCACACTGGCACACAACCCAGAGGGAAGTGGCGTCGAAACAAACAATAGCGCTGATGTCAAACTCATTTTTACAACTTGGATTTTTAATTTCAACCTCCCAGAGTTTAACATATGGAATCATACTCATCGAGAGTAAGCCCAGTTGGAAATTTCTTTTTTATACAAAGGCAGGTTTTGTGTGTATAAAAACCAAGATTTCACTGGCTGAGGAAGTTACTTAGGGACAGAAGACACAGCAGAGAGTGTGAGTGTGTAAATTGGACTCGAGGGACGCAGTTTAGAGTCTGCTGTGTGTCTGTGTTACAGTTAGAGGCAGCTCAGGTTGTGTTCTTTGCATTGACTCCACTCTTTCTGGAATTTTCTCCCTACATCCTGTCCAGCATTCCTGTGCCCGAGCCCTGTGGCCCAGCCAATGACAAACACACACACACACACAACACAAACACACTCATGTACAGCCTTGGAAGACACACAGAGCGTTGGTTCAACGGTCACACTGACGTCCGCACTCCGCCTGTCTGGCCTCATCTTTGAAGCCACACAAAAGAGGGTTCGAGAGAGCGACGCC